TACTGCTAAGAGAGATACCCTAGGACATCCTTGACCGCCCAGACTGGCACCCCTAATGGCCAACAACATTGCAGTGCGGCTGTAGCCCATACAGCATTGAATCTACTGCATGGCTGTAATAAAAAGCACACAAAGCTTCAATTTACCCCTGTTAGCAACGTCACATGATCTATGGTAGATGAGACGCCGGGCAACAGGGGCAATCGTTGCTGTATCGTGGCAATGCAGTGACTGTATAGTGGCCAAACCTAATCTTCCGATATCCCAGATCTTTTCTTCTGTGGTGAGGGCATGTGACAGCTATTTGTGTCATGATTGGTTCAAATATTAAGCTGATTGGCTGTTCGCCGTTACGTGCCTAAATTTTAAATAATATCCAATGTTTCCCTCCTTGACTGCCCCAACTTATGTTATAGTTGGTTGAAATAAGTCAAGATTTTTGTTTTTTTAAACTGCTTCTTTTAGACTCGATTAATATCTGAACTCTCGTATTATTATGTCAACATCAACATAAGCTTTTGATATGTTTCCAACATTTCCTTATACGAATATGACACGAAAATAAATCAAAAATTCCTAATAAGGCAATAATCCACATAACTAAATTCCCAATATGTCTCGCAGTCCAGTAATAAAAGAGTAACTGAATTACATAATAAAATGACTTATACACTTTAACATACGCTAGGTACACTAAGATCCGGTCAAACAGCACATCTAGTAGCTAACTGTGCTACGATTCTTTTGAGAATTAAGAAATTCCCCAACTGTACTGACTACTGAGTACAGTACACGTCAGTACAGTTATATGTTTAAAACAAATTTTCCTCTCGTCAAAAAGTACAGAGATTGGGTTCAGAGTAATATGATAAATTGACAAAATTTCGATTTCTGGAGGGAAACAGAAATAGTTACCGCATGATTGTGGCCGTTCGTAAATTGCATATAGGTAAAAAGGTGATCTGGATGAAACTTTGTAAGTGGTTTCAATGTAGATACTTTGTGGTAGAATATTATGATATAACGAATTGTGCTAAGTGTGGGGCTGTCGTAGAATGTACTAATCATTACATACACTAATGTTAATGTACATGATAAGTTACCAGTTTATTTTATACTTTACATGGCCACCTACTAGAGCAGTTAACATGCTCATATTATTATAAAATCCAGTTTTTGATGTTCTAATGTTGTGTATATTGCATTAAGCTATTAAATAAAACATACAGCAAGCAACACACCCTTATTCCTTACCCTCCCCTCTCACCCTCTCACCCTCTCACCCTCTCACCCTCTCACCCTCTCACCCTCTCACCCTCTCACCCTCTCACCCTCTCACCCTCTCACCCTCTCACCCTCTCACCCTCTCACCCTCTCACCCTCTCACCCTCTCACCCTCTCACCCTCTCACCCTCTCACCCTCTCACCCTCTCACCCTCTCACCCTCTCACCCTCTCACCCTCTCACCCTCTCACCCTCTCACCCTCTCACCCTCACCCTCTCACCCTCTCACCCTCACCCTCTCACCCTCACCCTCACCCTCACCCTCACCCTCACCCTCACCCTCACCCTCACCCTCACCCTCACCCTCACCCTCACCCTCACCCTCACCCTCACCCTCACCCTCACCCTCACCCTCACCCTCACCCTCACCCTCACCCTCACCCTCACCCTCACCCTCACCCTCACCCTCACCCTCACCCTCACCCTCACCCTCACCCTCACCCTCACCCTCACCCTCACCCTCACCCTACACAATTGCTCAGTACATCACGTGACTTGTAGATCTGCCCTGTATCCACTATATCCAGTACAGATCTTATTACGCAGCTCCATCTTGACACACGATATATTTACACCCTGCAAGATGATATGGGTGTCAAATTTCAATGTGTTAGACCCCTACTTCCGCTCTCATCAGTAGAATTATTCTTTAGAGAACATTTTAAATGTTTCAGATATGTCATGGTCAACGAACCATATTATGTTTAATTAAAAGCTCTCAATACCTTACCGTGAAGGGGCACGTTGACTGTTGAGGGGTGGTACTCTGACCATATAAACTTTATGACTTACAGATAATTTAGATATTTTAGAATGATGTGCGGCTCAATAGAATTAAAATTCAAATATGAAGATACGATATAATAGGTTAAAATAGGTTAAAATAGGTTGTAATAGGTTATAATAGGTTATAATAGATTAAAATGATTATAAGAATATGACGATAAAACCTCGTCTCACAATCTAAAAGAAGTCGTACGTGACAACTGTGTTTCCCCTGTAAAGATCATATTTCAACAATCATTATTAACACGTCATGATAATATACCCTTTATCATTAAGCCCAGCGAATTAATAACGTGCAATAATTAATCTTTCTGACAACTTCCAATTACTTACAAACCCTCGACAATATTACCCTCTTTAAATTAATGTATCAGTTTTTAACAACTTCATACGATTACAAAGATTAAATAACATATTACACCTTAATTATGCATGTAATTATTACGAAAAACCCCATAATAATGCCTGTAACATGATATTAAAAGCGCTTATTATATGTATCCTACTGTATAATATATCGCTTATCACCATCATCGTATTATCGGTGTTAAAAACTACATAGGTTAAATTTAAGGGTATAAATATAATACCAGGTTTTAACAGGGATTGGTAATGCGTGGGGGTTGGTTGATCACTTGATTACTTAATGAAATGGTGTCCGGGAATGGTCCCGGAATGTCTGGAATGATGTCCGGGAAGTTAAGTTCCTGTTAGGTGGCATGAGATGAGGTTTAGATTTCTGTACTTTGAGGTTTTTATTTTAAAACTCAAGATGAGGTTTAGATTTCTGTGCCTGGGTTTATTTTAAAATGAGTAATGGTTATATTTTACTACCCAGTACCCTAAAAAGGTAGGCACAGTCATCTAAACATTGTGAGAATAAGATGTCATAAAATCGCCATAGAAACTCTCCAATTACTGCATTGTAAGAAATAACCGGTAGAAAACCGGTAGAGAACCGGTAAATAACCGGTAGATAACCGGTGCCATCAACTAATCATTTGGAAACGTAGTTTTCAAATTTGATAAGGTTACTTGAGGCTGTATGTTTAAAGTTGAGTTAAAGACAGCTGCTGGTCCCGAACCTGAGCCTCTTATTGGTTCATCTCAATCACGTGATAGCACATCTGAATTAGTATTGGTTAGAGTAAGTCATGTGGTATTGGTTTAACTGTGGCTGATAAGACCCTGATACTGATAAGTTTAACGTGTGCTCTAGGACACAGCAACAAAGAGTCTAGAAGTCTGCAAGCTGGATATTCTGAGCAGAACTTCGTGGCAAGCACGCTCAAATTACTACATAATTTAAAACTAATAATTTATTATTTTAATCATTAATTATGAATAATTGTTATGATTATACCATGTTTTATTTACAGGCAGAGTACAAATCAAAATCCCGTAAAGACTACAAGCTGGTAGCCTTACAAATGTTGGACCAAGGAGTAAAAGTTCTAAATAAAGAAGTTAATGTGAGTAGATATTTTATTACTTCTCCAGAATTTTCCACATTTTACCACGTCCCTAGCATTTTTGCCACTTTTTACCACCTTTTAACCACTTTCCAATCATCTGTATATAACATTTCAATCTCATTTTACATAACGTTTGAACCTTTTAAGCATGGTTCTACCAGCTTAGCCCAATCCACACTGTCAGTCTAATTACTGACCGTTCAGCGCTGTTTTGGAAATAGCTTATTACTTAATGACCTTGTTGGTGTAAAGTTTGTTGATGGAATTAAGATGCGACTGCGCGGCATTTGACAACCGTTTGCGGTAATTTGCGGTAATTACATCCAATTAAATGAACATTGAACATCGTATTGGTACTTCAATTTATTGTACACGCGCTTGCGTAGCTAGTACTGACGACGTCCACTTTAAAGTATATAACTTCTAGAATTGACGCTGTTTAATAATTGATAGGCTTTTTAACTTCTGACATGATTATTAACAATTTATCAGAAATATATTTGGCTGCTTGCCTGAACTTGATTGTCTTGGTGTGTCAAAACATCAAGCTGAACACATATGTTTGTGGTTAATGTACTTAAATCGCAAGTAAACGTACTGAAACACACAGCACTTGAGTTCAAAGAAGTTGCCGCTACCAGATACACAGACACACTGTTGATTTAACCGTTTCCGGACCTCATCCGGATTGACCGCTCAAAAAAGTGCTCCTGCGGCTTAATATGCTAAGCAATGCGTAAAAATACTGAACTGTTTAGCGATAGTAATTCGGCTGGCTCAGTAAATCTGCGAAGTTTGAATGCATGTCTTAACTTCGCTAAAGATGACGACCTTGCTCGATTGTTTCCTAGCATGTGAAATCGCCGTGTTCTTTCAGTAGCGCGCGGAAACATTTATGGTAAATAAGAACGCGCGCACGCGCGTAATTTTTGTATGTTTTCTTGCCCGCAAGCGTGCTTTACGATCAATTCGTCCCATGTGGATTGTGGCCTGTGGGTATGGCTGACCAAAATTACTACTACGACAAATTCAAATTTTTAATAAAGATATTTTTTTCCAACCTAACAAACTGACTTATTCCGGCTTACTTATTTTTCCCCTTAGTATGTGTGTTAACTTGTAATTTACCACAGTGCGTATAAACTTCTATATCTCTTCAGTGCGTATTAATGGCTCACGCCCTCTCGAGGATATCATACTCTGTGGCCGAACCTAAAGATGGACTCCTAGCATTCGCTGCCAAAGACCCTGAGGGTGTCAACTCGCAGACCTATTGCCATGCTTTTATATTCGATAATCCCAAAGAGGTTTGTATTGTACTTAAATCTTTTACCTTTGTTATTCAAATTTACTATCATGATAATTCTATAACCATTTTATGTGTTCAGAATTGAAAATTAGTTGTTATGAGTTATAAGCGCAGTCATTCAAACCCGGCTTTGATAATATTCAATATTAATAATCTTTAAAATCACAGATAAAAAGCAAAATATCAATTAATATGTGCCAAAAATTTAATATACTATTTTTAAATAAGCTATTTTTAAACAGTACGAGCAAAAGGTACAACTAATCTGAATAATAAGATTTCTTACAGAAAACTAGGTCTCAATCCTTTACCGGTTCTCAATTCACAATTTTGTAAAGACTTCTTCTTCCATAAAAACACGACGGCATTAAATGTTACTATCATAACTAAACTGATGCGATTAAAAATACGAATACAGTCAATGGAAGCGACATCCATGATACCAATCTCGGTTACAGTGATCTGAAAACCAAAAACTAAGTTTGGAAGACTACTGATAAAAAGTGTAGAACTAATGATAACTATAATCGCACTACTACTGGTAATTGATCTGAAATACCGATTAGAAACGATAACAATTATACAGAACATCATCAGCAAAGGGATCACCACAGCATCTAAACAATAAAACCACTTGCTCCACCCCTGCAACATCCCCGTCCCTCCCTCTTCTCCACACAGATCCACTCTCATAGGGTTCCTGGCAGAGTTCACCCCACCTCCCTTCCTTGTCTCCAACTCCCCAAACAACTTCATACAATACAATATTAACAACACTCCCGAGTGGTCCCCCGTCATCCTCCACCTAGGTACCAGTATCCTCAGTGCTTTACTCCCACTCAGAACCAAACCACAGAATATCAGGGTTCTCTGCAGTATTTCCAGCCAGTCCTCCACTGCTAACACAACCCTTCTATCCACCCCTCCTCCTCCGCCTCCTCCGCCTCCTCCACATTCAGTCACCAGACTCTCCAACAGGGGAATCTGAGCCACACAGACCATAGCACCTAACACAGACATACACGCACACACTTGCTCTGATAGGGTCTCTCTGTTGGAGGTTAGGAAGTGGTTTAGAGCGAGGAGGTTGGAAGGAGTACCTATGAGGAGACATGGTGCCAGGAGACAGGGGAGGAGAAGTGAGTAGAATGTTGTGGTGTGTTCCGTGAGGAGCTGGTTTAAGGAGAAAGCGTCCGGGGAGACGATGTATTTTATCATCCTGACATGGTTTAGTCTGTTATTAAAACATTGTGAAATTTCCTTTCCTTTGAAAATTACAAATTGTGACCAATGACAGATTTCACAGAAACTTTGATTTAATTGATGGATGAAGGGTCAACAAATTTTGTACAAAAGTTAAATTTACTGCACAGTTTTACCCACAACAAAACTGACTGCAATTCTAAGTTATTGCCAGAACAACTAGTGGTGTAAGTTATACCACTGCGTTATAAAATAAGCAAGTTAAGATAACAAAGATAGTCAATACAAAAGCCACACTACAGAAAGAAATGTTGTTTTTGTTATGGCAGCGATAGGTAGATTCGCCCGGGATAGATCACCTCAGGTGATCATCACCTGTTCTGCAACACAAAGTTTTGTAAAGGCTATTAAGCGACAAAAAAGCAACTGCATGAAGAAGTAAGAAGGTATCTTTGTAAAACTACTCTAGTAATGTAACAAGTTTAATACTACTCTAGTAATGTATCAAGTTTTTACTTAGAAATTAGTCTTAACCGCTCCGGTTGTAATGTAGATAATGTAGTGCAGTTATAGTGTAGTATGTAAGTAGTGCAAAGGTTTACCGATTTCAAAAATACTCTACATATCAAATCGTACTTTTAAAAAAAAACAACAAATAAGCCACTAGGAAAAAAAAACAAACTAGGACCGGTCTTGAAAATCAAAAGTTGGTAACTTCCCAAGTAGTCAACTTCTGTGGAGATGCATAGCCTCCCCACACGTGCAAAGCCTCCCCGCACGTGTAAAGCCTCCCCGCTCGTGGCACAATCTAGGAAACATTAACATATTGTGGTCGCAAGAGAAACTATTCTTTGCTTACCCGGCTTACTTCAGCTGCCAGTGTATACAATGTATAAACTGTTGGAAATACATGTGTTACGCGTGTCTTTACATGCTCGATAATGTGCTCAATTCATTATATGAAATTCCACTGACCACTAAGAACTGCTTAAAAGATTTATTTGATATTTATATTATGAATTCTGGATGAGTTTTATTATGAGACGGATATTATTATACTTTTGTCATTTGTGAACTGATCGGGACTAGGTAGGACCAGACCACAAACTTGTTTTATTTGTGTATTTTTAGATAACGTTTAGAAATGTTACAGTATCCAAACCACACGGAAGTTACAGTCGAAGTATTTAGATATTTTACGAAAACGATGTAGTGATATTAAAAACACGTATATAATAATAGTTAGTGGTCGGCGTGTAAGAATAGTTCAATATACACATTTTCTTAACTTCCTATTGAGGTATTGAAACAAACTCAAGGATTGAGCTTCAAAACTGCGAAGATGTTTCCTGTTGCTGCACCTGACGGGGGGGGGGGGGGGGGGGGCGGGGGGGGGGGGGGCAATGGTATAAAATGGGCTATGGTACTTTTTCTCCATAGAAAAAGTCTCCATTTTATACTATTTTAAATTTTTATGCCATTGGCCCCCTCCCCACCTGACTATCAACCGTTACATAATACATAAAGCCTGCTGCTAAACCTCTTAACTCCCGACGTGAGCGGAAAAATTCAGTAACTAAGCTAGATCCAATTAAAGCTAGTTCGAGATTTAGGGTTGCTCAATCTCGGCCCTTTCAACTCCCCAGAACTTCCCCCAAAATGCTCCAAAAAGAAAACATTTTAGGCTGATCTGAATCGTTGTACGTAATTTAAATATTAATATTAATAACCTGTAAATAGTATTAAATAATTAATAATTAATCTGTAAATAATATTAATTAATTAATAATTAACCTGTAAATAATATTAATTAATTAATAATTAACCTATAAATACCCCCAGGCTAGTGAGATAAACACAACGTTGGGTAACGCGTTTAGACTAGCGTACTGTAAGAGGACCCTGAAACGCAGGACTAAATGTGATACTACTTCACAGCACACTAATAGTAGTAGTAGTACCGGTACCAGCGACAGGTACTGATTCAACTTTTTGTAGTTTCATTTTAGTTATAGTTTAGTAAGATTTTTCATCGTAGTAGCTGGTTATAGATAAATAAGATGTATTCAAATTAGATTGATTTTAGTTTCTACATAAAGTTTTTTACGATTTATTACAGTACCCAAGATTCTTTATAGAAACTGTTTTTCATAACTTCGTTTTTCGGGTTTTCTCAATTTCCCGTTTCCTTAGATTACCCGTATTTTCTGGTTTTTCCGAGCAGCCCCTCTTTAATGTGCTCTAATATCCCTCCATTCCCCTAACTCCGACCTCACCTCCATCAGCGCTGCAATCCTCCGCAAACGATCCAACGTCTGCCAGAACACACCTCGACAACAACAACCAAATGGGAACTGCCAGAGAAACAAGATAACCACATGTAACGGTGGTAACCATGGTAACCATGGTAACAACCACCATGGTAACGCTACTCCACTGGGTAACGGTAACCATGGGTTACGGTTAGAAGGGTTGAAGTCGGGGGAGCAGTTATCAAGGAACAGTGCCAAGTCCCCTGCTTTCTCAAACCATGACAGGTAATAGCTTGTAATAGCAGGTAATAGCTTTTTTTTTGTATTTGGGGACAGGAAACAGTTACCGTCCCCCAATTATCATTGCAGTTTATTTTGGATTTAGTTAGTTTCTATTAGTTGTAACTTCTAAAGTTGTATAAGTAGATTGTAGATTCATTCTGTCATGTAAGGTGGGTGGTCTCGGTGAAACGTTTGTATTGCTGATTCTCCCTTGAATTAACGATAACTTGGAAGAATTTGTTGGTTATCCTTACTATGAGATATTTTGGATTTTTAACATCAACAAATTCTGCGATCAATATTAACAATCTACATTAGGCTGATGCTGAACATGTAGTTTGGCGGAGGATATAAAAACATATAATTTAAAGTTTTTATTTAAGGCAAACTACATAGTGATTAGATTTTAATTATTGTTGCATTGCATTTCGTACAACTTTTAGAAAAGGTTTGAAATCATCACATTGAATACTTAGCATTCTTTCAGATTGAAAATTGACATTCCCACGTATTGTGAAATTAACATGGTGGCTTTGTTCTTGAAATTGCTAAATAACAATCACACACTTCATAAAGCTCAAGCAATAATTGCAAAATACCAAACTCCATTGAAACTCGTCCTATGAACTACAAAGGTTATCTATTTTTATTTGAAGGAATGATAATCTGAAGGAACGATTGTACAGGCAGTCTGACTATCTAGATCTACACTTGATTTCCCTTCATATCGTCACATCACTGAACAAAGGAATTTGCAGTCCATTTTATGATATAATTATGCAAGATTTTCTTGGGTATTTCTGTTCTTTGCGAGATATTTCCGTGTATTCACTATTCATGCTTTGTTTGTTTGTTGTACTTGGAGCGTAGACCGATGGTTTTAGTGAGTAAATTAGTTTCACCACCTGAATGAAGGGATTGTGTTACGATCCCGTCAATGTTCGCTGATTTTATTGCCATTTTCAACATAAATGCTTTAGTTCAAAACTTTCACTTTTATTCCTCTTCAGTTGCTCTTTTTTAGTCAAGTTAAATTACAACTCCACATCGCATGAATAGTTGCTAAATTACAAGCAAATACAAATAATACAATACACAATGTTGATAAGCTTGAGTATCGTTCTGAACAAATATAATTTCTTTATACCCTTTATTTACATCATTAGGCACCTCATGAGGTTATTTTAGTTTGTTGTAAATGTATCGATATTCTAAGTAAGCATCCTCGCTCTGTGTATGTATACAATTACATTCAAGTTTCCTTCCAAAATTTCCTTTTCAGAAATTTTCCGTTGAATCACTGCTAATAAATTTGTTTACTTTTGTTGATACATTCTGCCCGCAATTTCGTGACTAAATCCAAAATTCCAGCTCCTTTCTACATACGAAAAGATGGCTTTAACAACGTCACCACAACCAAACGACTTAGTGTGGTTGCGTCCCACCTTCTCCCCCCTCCTCTCAGACCAACTATCTTCACCACAACCAGACACCTTCAATGGAACAGCAGACATCCTCATAGCCACCACCCTGGTTATCCTCACCATATTTGGTATCCTGGGTAACAGCTCCTCTTTTATCTACTTCTGGCAGCTCCGAAAGAGAGCAATCCACCCTAAACTCTACACCATGATATGCTGTGTGGATATCAGCTGCTGCCTCGCTACCATCCCTGTTATTATATCCCTGCTAAAATCCCGACATGCCATGTTATTCGAGAGTACTGTCTTCTGTACCGTCTGGACTATCATGATGACGACACTGTTCAAGCTGGCCGTGTTCCTGGTGATGGTGGTGAGTATGACCAGGATGATTGCTATTATATTTCCACACCACATCATAAGGTTCAGAGTTGTCGTCAAGTTCATCATCGGCTTTATAATCATCGTCATACTGGTAGATATCACAGTGTTGGTAACCGGTGTTGGACTTCACGCCCGGTACAATGAGAAAGAAGCAATGTGTGAAATACACGTCACAGAGAAGAGCTCCGTTGTGCATTACATGTATTCTATATTTGTGCAGGCTGGGCTTCTACTCTCCTCTGTTGTTATCTTCTTCAGCTTTGTGTTGGGTACTTTCCGTCTGATGGCTAGGAGGAGGGAGGCAATAACACGGAGAGGTGACTCCGATCAGGGGTCCGGAGTTGATGAGATGTTCCTTAATGTTTCAATAACAATTGCCATCTTCACCGCTGTGTTTCTCGTGTGTAACCTGCCTTGTTTTATTTTACAGCTAGCGTATTTTGTTGCACAATTTGAAAACAAAATCAATGATGTGTTTTTAAAGAACAGGTTTATGAAGTGGTATGGTCACCTCATCTTCCAATTCTTTATGGGGCTGCTCAATGCTGCGATTAACCCCTGTTTGTACTTCTCCCGGATGCCTAACTACAGGATATGGACCACAGAGAAAACGGTGGCCATCCCAAACTTGATTAAAGGAGAATCTGCTCTGTTCTCAGCAAAGTCAACAACAGAAATCACTCTAAACCACTCTCGTCTTTCAACTTACCACTCTTCAGTTGAAGTAAAATCAGCATAGAAGCTGCTGTGACACTGTTTGAGCATTTTGCTAATAGTAGCCTTTTATAGAATATTGAATTATTGTATGGATATTAACAGTATATTATGTCTAAGCACTGCGTTCGAACTGGGAATATTGACGCTGAAACTTTGTGCGATTTGGGGTATTGCTTTCTTTAGGACGTATGTACTAGGTCTGGGAAGTTTTTAAACTTTAGCTTCAGATTTCTCTTAGCAAGATCACAGATGTACTCGTACGCTTAGGAAGATGATGTTTTAATTTAATAATTTGCAAGTGAATTATTATAATTTTGGTTAAAAAGTGGTATTGCATGATTGTGAGCTCAAGTTATTTAATCAAAACAACCTGAATCTCACTGCGTTTCTCAATTCTTTTAAGGAACCATGTTATTAGCAGCAAAAATTATATTTTTAATTAATTATATATTATGCCCTAATGATATTCAATGTATCAAAATCCTGATGATCTGGTGACCAAAGGCACCAGGTTTAATATTTTGTCAATTTCATTGGTAACCTTCGATGTGGGCTCGTTTTAATGAATAGAATTATAAATGTCAGATCGATGTCTGCAGTAGTGTCAGCCTCATAATTGCATCTCAATCGAACAGTTTTGTCATTTCATCGCAGCCTGAATATTCAATTGAATCGATCTTAAATTTTTGAGAAACTGTCGGTGCATCATGTCGCAGATAAATTCAACCATGGCTTTGTTGAAATCAATTTCCGAGATCGTTTTAAGGAGCCCTGGGCGCACGCATCTTCCACAGTGAAAAGCCCAATATCCGAACAGCAGACTGCACAACAAAAGATGTGTTTGAGGAGAAAATTAACTGCATTTCTTTAAAAGAGAGTACTTCAAGCCTCCACGTAATCGGACCATTTGTTTTATATTGTGTTTTGTATGTTTCATGGTCACGTTCTAATTGATGGTTGTGTGTTGTTTTGCAATTCTGGTTGATCCATTTGTTTTCCTTGCGATTGTTGTCTCTTCGAATGAGCTGATTTTGTTTGCCCTAATATATTTAAATAATTGACGAAACTTCTTTGACATTGGGATAAAAATTGCCCTCTGATTATCAGTTTAATTCTTGACCTATTTCGTATCTAATGCCTCCTCTACATTAAAACTAACAATGACACCGTCTGTAAACAAATAACGTTAAATATTAATTATTTTAAAGCCGGACCACTGGAGACAAGATGACAATCCTCACTAACAGAAGAAAAACAGCACCACCCCCGACCTTCCCAACATCCAATCTATCGACTCCTGGGTTTACCATGTCACCCCTTCCTCCAACCTCGCCACTCTCGCCTATAAACCCTACAACTCCACATGATACATACTCTGTAACACGTGGTCTGCACCACGTGACACTGTCTTCTACTACATCGTCCATGTCACGTGACTTACACACCTTAACATCCCTTCCTGACACGACATCTTCTCTGCAAGGACCCCAAAACCTAGTCTGGAAGCCAAACATATCTCCAGAAAAGCTTTCAGCTAATGGGATTTATAGTGAAACAGCGGACCTCGCCATAGCTTCCTTAACGGTCCTTCTCATTCTAATCGGCCTCATAGGTAACTCTACCTCTCTGGTGTACTTCTGGCAGCAGAGGAAGAAAGCTATCCATCCCAAACTGTACACCATGATCTGTGCGGTAGATATCTGCTCCTGTATCACCGCTATACCTGTCATTATATCCCTCTTCAACTCCCGTACCCCCGTGTTATTCGAAGATAACGTGTTCTGTGCCACCTGGACTGTGGCTATGACTGTTCTTCTGAAACTCGCCATGTTCTTGGTTATGATAGTGAGTGTCACCAGAACGATAGCCATGACATTCCCACTTCGAAAGATAAGAGCTGATGTTGTTATCAAGGTTATCATTGCTTACATGACCTTCATCTGTTTTGTTGATGTGGTTGTTTTGTCTGCTGGTTGGTTTGAGACGAAGTTTAAAGAGGATGTGAGCATGTGCGAGATTCGCCCTAAAGGAGAGAGAGTTCCCATACATTATGTGTACTCCTTGGCTGTTCAAACAGAGCTGCTTCTTTCTTCTGTTCTGGTCTTCAGCAGCTTTGCATACGGTACTTTTCGTCTTGTAACAAAGAGAAGCCAGAGGAATTCACGGAGAACAACCAAGAACAATTTCCAGGCAAAAGAAGACGCCATGTTTGTACAAGTTACAGTTACAATCGCCATCTTTACAGCCGTGTTTCTGATGTGTAATCTACCTGGTTTTATCCTGCAGCTGACTTACTTTCTCGGACAGTTTGCACAATTTAAAGTCGATGACGTCATGATTGAGAGTAGATTTTTGTGGTGGTACAGCCACATCGTCTTTTATTTCTTCTGTGGTCTGCTGAATGCGGCCATCAATCCCTTCCTGTACTTCAGTAGGATGCCTAACTATAGGAACTGGACAACTGAACAAACATTGAATGTCCAGAAGATGAACAGAACCACGTCAACACCTCCACCGTCCTTCACATTATCCGTATCAAGGACTAAAGCATCTGTGTGATTTACTCAGTCCAGTGTGCGATTTACTCAGTCAGTGTGTGATTTACTCAGTCAGTGTGTGATTTACTCAGTCAGTGTGTGATTTACTCAGTCAGTGTGTGATTTACTCAGTCAGTGTGACGTGTGTGATTTACTCAGTCAGTGTGTGATTTACTCAGTCAGTGTGTGGTTTACTCAGTCAGTGATTGAAATATGGTTGGTTGGAGAACTTTGTGGGGGCCAATGGCATAAAATTAAAATGGCATAAATGGAGAATTACTCAAGGGTTTTCCCATTTTCTCCATAGAAAAAGTCTACATTTTATGCCATTGCCCCCCCCCCCCCCCCACTTTGTATTATTTAATCCAAGACAGAGCATTCTGCATTTCAGCAGGGGCTCAAGGACTTTACTAATTACTTAGCTATTTTTGATAAACTAAAAAGGGGTTGAATTTGAAAATTTGCTCTTTTTGTTAATTATCTTTTGTGTGAATAACTTCAATCATTATCTGCGACCAATATTTTGTTTTCATTAAACCAATGCATATCAAGATCTCAAATTGAAGTTGGTTTAATCGACCAAACAGTATCCATCTGTAGATAATCTGATATTTGTAAACTTCTGAGCAAAACCTTTAGTGATAGAATGTACGAACATTAATTTAACCCCCCTTCCTTTCGCACGATGGTAATTTAAAAGTGTCCCAGAATGTCCCAGAAATGTCCCAGAATTAAGTAACCGGGACCAGTAACCATCAACCAACTATAATCTAACTTCATGTGTTCAGGTACCTACTAACCAATAATCAGTAACCAAATCTTGTGTTCAGGTACCAGGCAGATATAAAGCACCTCCAGGACCTGGACCCAGAGTCTCGTATAAAAGACTGGCTCCACGACGTGTCTCCTGTTAATATAAATACTGAACAGGACGCGTCTCCTAGTAAGTCTTATTCCAGTTTGCTTGACAATACTGTTAATTTTATTAGCTGAAATTGTATTGCGCTAATATTATTATTGCACCGGTATTGTGTCGATATTTTCACAGGACAGATTCCAAACCATTTTGACTTTTGAACTGGCTCAAGCAAACTTTAGGGCTACTTTCCTTGCATGTAATTAAACGAATAAGGATGGGGCACAAAATCTCACTGCCCCCTCCCCCTCGTCCTGTCTCCCTGCCCTTTATTTTAACCCTTCCCCCTCTCAGTCTACCCGGACCAAGTAGGAAAGGGGCGATGTCAGCGCAGTGGCAGCTGCGTCCCAGTTTCCACTGCAGTGGTTCAACAGGAACAACTGAGGCGGCCCAGCCGTATTTGCGAGGACCAGATGACCATCCCTCAGGAGCTGAAAGAACAGGAGTGGTTCCAGGCTGGCATTCCTAGGTTAGTTGGTAAACTTTTATATGTTAACATAATATCTGCATAGTGCATATTCGCGAGTTGCAATTTGTAATATTCACATATTCCAATATTAAAGAGGTCAGCCGGTGTTTGCCCTTTTTCATTTATTCATCTAAGTGATAATCATTACTATCTCTCAGGCACATAGCTCTGGAATGTCTCAGTATGGAATGTGAGGGCGCCTTCATCGTCCGTAATTCTCAGACTCACAAAGGTGGGACTGTAATTCACAATTATTTGTAATTTTTCCTCCTGCTTTTTTTCGGTTGCATTCCTATCCCCCTATATACGGTTATTAGATAGTATAATTTCTCTTTGCAGCGCACTACCAATCAGCAGATAATTTTGAATGTTATTAAATTGACTAGATCAGTTAATTATAAGCTATTACTAATCAATTAATTAATTATAATTCATTGTCAGGGTGCTACGCGTTATCACTACGGGGTCCGGGTAGAGGCTCCTCCGGTACCTACCACTACTTAATATCACAGAACACTGACGGCTACTACTTCCAGGTAATTAATTAGTAAACTCATTAGGTAACTAATGAGCACATTGTATTAATTAATTAGTTGAAAAATTGATAGTTCAAACTGAGGCACAGATTGGTGCGACAGAGATTCAGATCTTCTACTCCAATATAACTAGTCATGTGTGTCACGTAATTAGTATAACTAGTCGTACATCATGTACAGGTGTGTGTCACGTGATTAACGTAAGATCACGTGATTAACGTAAGATCACGTTATCAGGGTGGCGGACGAGTGTTTCCAGACCTATCATCTTTGATACATCATCACTGCTATGAAAAAGAAGGTGCGTGGAACTAAATTTTATCCTTTTTATTGATTTTCTTAATATCCTGTTCTCTTCTCTGCTAATATGAAAGGACATTTTTGATTTAAATTCCTTGATGATTTAAGCTCCACCTAGTCTTGATAACTAACGGCCTCTCTACAATCATTGAACCGCAATAACCCTCTTTTTCTCCAGGACTAATTTGCAAGCTGTCAATGAACCGCAATAACCCTCTATACGGTGACGAGCCAGACAGCAGCGATTTCGATGAAGAAGATCCGGACTACGACGAGCCACCTAACGCCGGATTTACCACCCTGTTACCTGCTCATCAATGACGTCATTAAGATGAAGTAATGACGTCACGTGATCCTTGCCACTGTTAACCTGTTGAAGTCACGTGGTGTTGTGATGACGTCACGTGGCGTTGCGATGACGTCACGTTTTCAATGGACTACCCGACTTATAGTAGTACAACTATTATATTGTGTTAGTTGTAACCTTTGAGCAGAGATTATGAAACTTGATAATAACCAAACCATTACCTAAAGTGAACTACACTAATTTAGTGATGTAAAACCTGTACAACATATTATAAACTTGTCACTGATTGGATACACTGAGATGTTGTTATTACATTATTAGGAAAATTATTGCAGTTATTATTCTTGAATCTAAACACTATTTGAAGTAGGATACATGTTAAACTTCCGATTTTGATGTTCCAGGTTCGGTGAATGTTTGATATTTTGATAATTATTACTTTAAGTTCATAATTTTTTCTAATCTTTTGAACTCTTACTCTCAGTAAACATATTATGAACGTTTTTTGACGATATTTGTCAAATATCGTCAAATATCATATTTAAGTTAAACTGGTACGCGCTGGCCTGGCACCCACCATGATATTACCAGTAAAAGGTTAAATTATAAAAATTCACGTGAAACAGTGTGATGCAGCACAAGCAGTGTGGTGCAGCACAAGCAGTGTGGTGCAACACAAGCAGTGTGGTGCAACACAAGCAGTGTGGTGCAACACAAGCAGTGTGGTACAAGTACAACACAAGCCGTGTGCTGCAGCACAAGCAGTGTGGTGCAGCACACGCAGCGTGGTACAACACAAGCAGTGTGGTGCAGCACAAGCAGTGTGGTACAACACAAGCAGTGTGGTGCAGCACTGAGCACAGGCAGTGTGGTGCACGTGCTGAGTAACTTGTATAAACTACGTTTCTGTTTACAGTGCAATTAAATTAAATTTACAGAGCAATAAAAAGTCCTTCTAGTTCTTTGCATGCGCGCCTTTGATTGTAATTTAACACTCTCATAGTCAGTTGTAAGGAAGTTTTGTTTATACGTCACATTAAAACTGTAATCTCGATCAAAGTTCACTTTGGAGTGATCAATGATAATTGATATGATACAAATTTGTCCAGTTTTGGAATTAAATAGCCTTGCCGGATCAACGCAAGGTTCGAATTTTTTGATGGAAATGGAAAGTTAGCAGTTGTGGAGTTAATTGACAATTAGTTAATTAGCAATTAATCAATTGATTAGTTAATTTAAGTTTTGTAAAACTGATGTACTGAGTTTATAAATGTTTTATTCTAATTTAAAGTGTTATTTCTCTTGTATTGTATTGGTTCCCTAAATCTTCGTGAAAAACTTGACGGATGTTACTCGTCTAAATTTCTTCGAAGTAGCGTGCGCCACTATCTTCTCGAAATGTTATCGCCCAAAAAAAATGGCCCGAGGCAAGTGCTATACGAAGTGCTACTACGAAGTTGTGCACGCTGGGCTAATTCATTAACAATGGACAATGAAAAAACCCTCCAATCATTGCCATAACGTTTTCAGTTTCCCAGTGTCCATATTTTGATTTCAAATTCTGTGCACTTTCAAATGTTTTTGGAATAGCAATAATCAGTTACGAATTCAGAATCCGAATTCATAAAAAGTAAAAATTAATAAAATTAAATGTGATAAACCTTCAAATAAGCGTGGTATTCATTGACGGTCCATGATGTAAAAAGATAAGCAGTACTTTAACAGAAAATTAACGATAGTGTTAAAAACTTTGGTAATCGTGGATTCTATGCAAGTAGATTAAATAAACAAATAATCAAGTCCGAAAGTAAAAATTGCTTTCAATAAAAAATTCTTCCATTCATAAGATAATTAAAAAAATGGTTGCAGTTTAAAATTTAGTCAAAACTACATTTTGTTATCCCCACTGCAGTGTTGGTATGTTAATTACTGTAATGTTCCTGTGCAATGGTAACAAGAGTGTTCACTGTTCGTGTTGGTATGTAGTGTTGCTATGGTAACAGTCCTGTCATGATATATCTTTGTAAGTTAGGGCGTAGTTCGTTGAGAGTGTTGCTATGGTAACAAAAGTCCTGTTATAATGTATCTCTGTTAGCTAGGGCGGGGCTAGGTCGTAGTTCTTTGTCCCACCTCCAAACCGCAGAATCGTCGCTGACAGCCACCATGATGGTCGAATCCGGACTGAAACAAACCTGCCGAGAAAACAATGTATCTAAACCAAATAAATCGAACTTCACAACGGAATAGATCAAAATCTTATCAGCAAAAAAATCTTTTTATGCATTTTGATTTTAAAGAAAAAAAAAGCCTAAAAAGAATAATCGCCCATTGTCCAGTGAAGTCTTACAAAGTTACTTAAGATTTAAAACTAATCAAAAGTTCGGTAAAATAGTGAACATTAAATGCCTGTACCTGTCTGATGGCAGTCAAACACTTCTGGTGGGACAAAATAGCTGGTTTAGAAGGCTCCTCGCTTATATCCCAGAGAAACACCTTCACAAATAGATAAGGGGTTAGCTGGGGCCACTACAATTTATATCCCAGATAAACACCTTCACAAATAGATAAGGGGTTAGCTGGGGCCACTACAATTTATAAAACAAAATAAAACATACATATCTAGGGGCTTTACAGTTTATCTGGGTTTTACAGTATATTGAAATGCAGGTCTCACCTTGCCTATTTGATTTCCAGCGGCAATTGCATCAAAGTTGGGCGAAACAGCGAACCTCATGTACCAAATATCACAGTTTCCGTAGTCAAAACTGTGCAGGACCTGGAATTATGTTGCAGAATTCTGTGCAGAATTTAGGCATAACAGCATTGGTGCCTGGTGGGCGGTCGGCGGTTCGGGGTCCGTTACCCTCTTCTTATTTTGATCACGGGTTCGTTGGTAAATTGCTATCTCAAAATCAATTTAAAAAACAAAATCGTTAAATGTTAGATTCTAACCTCACTTTGGTCCGGTATATCAGAGGATTTCTTTATTGATAAGTTAGGTTTCCAACACACTATCTTATTTTCACACGACTTTGAGAGGACGTAGTTACCAAACCACCTGAAAATAAAGGTGTGTAGATATACAACTTTTAGGATGTGCTTGTGGGTGATGGGGAGAGGGGAGGAGGAGGTGGTTTGATGCAAACGAAGAAGAAGATTACGTATACCATCCACGAATGATAACTGCAGTTTAATCTCCCGAAATGATAGTTACCTAACACAGTCAACATAGTTTCTGTGAATATTTCTAGTTCCAAACACAGGGAAATGTTTGTTGAGAACGGGGAAGGGTTTTAGGTCGGAGTATGAGTAGGAGAGATCTATGATGTCCTTAACGTCGTCTGACTCCAGGGACCACATTTTAACGGAGTGGTCCATCCCACAAGAGAGAACCTGGGGTCATTTCAAGTTCATTTCAGTTTTTAGTCCGAGGATTAATAGTTGGCGGTCGGGATCTCATGACAATGCTAGCTTATTAAAGTAGTAAAATTATACCCCTGATGCTGGATGCATTGTATTTATAATTAATTTTACTTTTACTTTAATTGAGAATTATTATAAATAAGGCAGCTTTTATCACGATTAGCATAATAGAGTTTTGCAGAAAGGGTATTTGCTGTTCTTCAAAGAGTTACAATTCTTATTATACCAACATCTAAACTAATAATAATAACTCACATATCGGGCTTTAAGATCGAAGTCACAGCTTAACACTTCGTCCCTGTGGCCCTCTAAACCACCTGAAAAAAGTTACGTGCTTATTATAGTACTCAGAGCTACCTGGTAACCTGGTAAACTAGTAACCTTGTAACCTGGTGACCTGGTAAACTGATCACAACAATCAAACATGCAGAAAAAATGAAGGCTCTAAAATCAGACCAAACATATATGTTATTAAAATCCGAGTCACAACTACGACACATGTAGGGGGGGGGGGGGCAACGCCCCAAAAGGCCCCGATTTCTAGGGCCCTTTTTGGATTTTCGATATGTGTAGGGCCTTTTGGGGCCCTAGAATTAACTTAAATTTCATCAAGTTTGATATATTTTTTTTTTTTTTTTTTTTTAAGAGAGGCTGGGCCAAGATAGCCCACGAGAGGATAGCATTGAGATGCTCTGCCTACCTCTGGGGTGTGGCAACCTTGGGGAAGGTTGCCGGTGAAATCAGAGTGATTGGTGGAGGATGGTGTAAGATGATATATGAGTCAAAATGATACGCTTAAATGCCAGCTGGGTTTGGAAAAGTAAAACGAGACGAGACAGCATATGAGATAATACTTTAAGTCACCCCGGTCTGATCCAGCTCTTCCGGCACAATTAAGCGTTTGGTGCGGTTTGCGAAATTGACAATTGTGGTGATGTGTTGGTTGTCGAATATGTCATTGACAGAGAGGTAGTAGTCCTGGAAATATTGACCTCTAATTTGGGCAATTGCTGGACACTGTCCAAGGAAGTGTGAGACAGTTTCCTCTCCGTCGCCGCACATAGGACAAGCACTGGTGTTTGATTTGCAAATGGTGTGAAGGTGTTTGTTTAAGCCGCAGTGACCCGTGATGAGGTGAACTGCAGTTCTGTAATCTTGTCTGTTTTTGCTGAGTGTAGTGTTGAGGTTTTTGATGATTTTGGCATGCTTGTGGCCGAGTGTCAGTTTGGTGTGTCTGGGACCGTCAGTTAACCAAGTTTCCTGATTCAGTCTATTGACTTTGTTGTCGATTTGACGCTTGATGTAGGATTGTGGAATTGGACACTTCAAAGTGGATTCACTGGTTGTACCAAGCTTGGCCAGCTCATCTGCTTTTTCGTTCCCCCACAATCCGATGTGTGCTGCAATCCATCGTATATCTAGCGTGTTGTTGGTTCCGAGTGCATTAAGAGAGTCGTAACAGTCTCTTGTAGTTCTACTCCGCGTTGAAAGCGCAGAGATAGCTTGTATAGATGAGAGACTGTCAGACCATATGATGATATGTGTGTTGGTATAGGTAGAGAGATATTTGCAAGCTTCAATGATGGCGGTGAGCTCTGTTTGGTAAACAGTGCAATAATCAGGGAGCTTGAATGATCTTTCTTCAAGGGTGGTGTTATTGTTGTCAGTTGTGATGATATAGCCAGCCCCGCATCCTGAGTCTGTGAGTGACCCGTCAGTGTAGCAGGTGATCGTTTCACTGGTAATGTTGTCAATGGTGTTTTGAAGTGAATTCCTATATTCAGTGGTATCGGCTCCAGGAGTTGTGACGGTGAAGTGCCGTCCCAGCATCATGGTTGGTGTTGTTAGGTCTCTCGTTGCTCTAGGTGGGATAATGAGATCTGCCATGAATTGTTTGTTGATAGTGGTATGATTTTTGATAGTTCCCTTCCTGAAGGCGATAGTTTCAAGAGTGAGGCTGCCATAAGCTTGTAGCCTGGCCGCACCCTTTGCTGCTTCGCCTTGCAGGAACAGTATGATGTCAGAAGTGTCGGTGAGGTGATTCAATGCGATAAAAGGTGTGCTTGGCATGGCACCAGACATCATTCTGAGTGCCAATGCCTGAACACGTTTGAGTTTCTTCGCGTTATAGTCCGTTTGAGTAGCCCTGATCCATATACTACAGCAGTAGGATAGGATTGGACGGATGACAGCCGTGTACATCCATTTGCATGTTTTGGGGCTCATACCCCATGTGGGGCCGACAGCTCTTCGACATTGCATGAGGGATGCCGTGGCTTTTTTGGTGGTGTTGATGATATGTTCATTGAAGTTGAGTTTGCTGTCCAAGGTCACTCCTAGAAATTTAGCAGACTTGGAAAGACCTATAATGTTGTTGCCAACTGTTATAGGTCTTAAAGTCCACTTACTATTCCAGGTAAACATGACTATCTGAGTTTTAAGGGCGCTAATAGATAGCTCTTTGGTTCTGCACCAATTTTCTATCGTTTTAATAGTTTTGCATGTTCGGTCCCAGATGATATCTAAATCATCCCCTTCCGCTAGAGACAACAGATCATCCGCAAAGGCTTGCAGGTAACCCGGGATGTCTTTTGCGGTAAAGGAAAGGAGATCGTCGACTACCAGGTTCCAGAGAAAAGGAGAGAGAATGCCTCCTTGGGGGCAACCTCGCCTGATCCGTACCCTTCTCGACTTATCCTTATGATTTAGTGTGATGAATCGATTGGTTACCATGTTGATGATCCACTGTGCTGTAGCCAAGTCCACTTTCGTAGCCTTGACTGCTTCAGAGATAGCCTTGAACGAGACATTGTCGAAGGCGCCCTCTATATCTAGAAAGACACCTAGGACATATCCTTTCTTGGCTATTCTGCGCTCAATGGTGTGAGTAACTTTATGAAGTGCCGCTTCTGTGGAGCAGCCCTTCTTAAAGCCGAATTGTCGTTTGTTGATATCATTAGCAATGTTGAGGTCATGTTGCATATGCCATAAGATCACTTTCTCCTGCAACTTTAACATCACAGGCGAAAGAGTGATCGTTCGAAATGACTTAGCTTTGTTGTAGTCGGTTTTTCCAGGCTTAGGGAGAAAGATTCCAAGAGAGTCCCTCCACAAAGTTGGGATGTGTTGCGTTTCATGGTTTTTTGTCATAATGTTTTTTGTTATGTCTTTGATATGAGCCCAGGCTTTCTGGAATATGATAGGTTTTAGAGTGTCAGGTCCTGCAGCCTTCAAGGGATCGAAGGATAGGAGAGCCTTTTCGATTCTTTCAGGGCTGTAGATTTTGTCTAGTAAGTCTGTGGAGATGGGTAAGGGGCAGAGAGGCGGAACTGGCGGATCAGTAACACTCTCCTTGAAGTGGGTTTGTGTCATGACCTCCAGTGTCTCCTCTGCGTTTTTGATGAGTTCGCCATTTGGTTTATAAACGGCTTCAAGTTTGTTATTGGTGTCAGTACAGGTTTTCAGAATCTTGTTCATCCTTCCAGATTCCTTAACCGATTCTGTGTCTGCGCAGAATTTCCGCCACGCATTGCGCTGGGAGTTGGACAGGATCTTGTTGTATTGCTTGTTGCTTTCTCTAAGAGCGAGCCACGAAGCATCAGTTTTGATTCGACGTGCTGTGATGAGTTTGCGTCTTATACCCCTCTGTGCTTCCTCAACTTCTCGAGTTAGCCAGGGTGGTTTTCTGACAGCGCTGGAGATGTAAGTAATGGGACATGCCTCCTCAAAGGCTGCTCGGAGAGCAGTATTAATGGTGTTAACTTTGTGATCAATGTCGTGTGGTGTGTTAACGCAGGTGTTGTGGAGATCATTGTTGTTGTAAAGAATCTCGTCAAATTTCGCCCAGTCAGTGTTCTTGACTAGGCGTATTTGTCTTGGTTCTTTTTTGGGACCAGAAGTTTGATATATGCTAAGTGCTTTAATGATACTAGCAGGAACCCGTCTACCCTAAAGTGGTGTCAAGGCTCGAGAGAATAAAATAATTATTACCTATTTAAATCGCGTTTTTGACACCACTTGGGAGTCCAAATTTTGGGCACTAAAATTCTTATTCCTTGGCCAATTTTTAATTTTTTCATGCTGATTTGAAGGCCATTAAAGCATTTGACCCAGTCAAAAAAGTTTCAGTTGTATTTTTTACGATTTTTGCGGAAATTCGCGTTAACGTTGATGCCGTGGTGTCAGTAAAATGGCACGGATAAATAAATATATATATATCGTCTCGCTTTATATATAGTAAGATTATCTGACTACTTGCACAGTACTTTTATGTTTATTTGAGTGTATTTACATGGAGATTATGGTCCATAAACACTATCAAATAGTGGTCAGGGTCAAAAGGCCCCAAAAGGCTCCAAAAAGCCCCGATTTCTAGGGCCTTTTTGGATTTTCGATGTGTGTAGGGCCTTTTGGGGCCCTAGAATTAACTTCAATTTCATCAAGTTTGATATATATGCTAAGTGCTTTAATGATATTATCTGACTACTTGCACAGTACTTTTATGTTTATTTGAGTGTATTTACATGGAGATTATGGTCCATAAACACTATCAAATAGTGGTCAGGGTCAAAAGGCCCCAAAAAGCCCCGATTTCTAGGGCCCTTTTCGGATTTTCGATATGTGTGGGGCCTTTTGGGGCGTTGGCCCCCCCCCCCATGTAACATGTTCACCATTTTGCCCTGAACCGGGTAACAAACACCACACACAAACACACACAAATACCACACAAACACACACAAATACCACACAAACACCACACAAACCACACACACACACACACAAACACACACAAATATCACACATACCCCACATACCACACACACACAAATACCACACAAACCACACACAAACACACACAAATACCACACAAATCACACACACACACAAATACCACACAAACCACACACACACAAACACACACACAAACACACACACACAAACGCACACAAATACCACACACACACAAATACCACACACAAATACCTCACAAATCACACACACACAAATACCACACAAACCACACACACACAAACACACACACATACCAAATATGAGAATACATCTGCGGGTCTTGAGGTTCCAGAGTCGGAGACTGTTGTCTTTACTGGCGGAGAGAAGTAGGTTGTTATCGGTGGGGTGAAGTTTTAACTCGTTTATACTGTCTCCGCAGCCCATTACTGATGGGTTATACAGTTTAGTTAGTTTATACTGTCTCCACAGCCCATTACTGATAGGTTATACAGTTTAGTTAGTTTATACTGTCTCCGCAGCCCATTACTGATGGGTTATACAGTTTAGTTAGTTTATACTGTCTCCGCAGCCCATTACTGACGGGTTATACAGTTTAGTTAGTTTTGTTAGTTTATTTAAATTAATTTATGTATATCATTAAGCTGAGATATATTAACAATAAATTGTAGTTTTCGTGGATGTTTCCGTGTAATTAGTGTAATTATCGTTCATTGCCCTAATTTAAGTTTTCCTAAGACTTACAAGTGAACAAGTTCTTTAGTTTCCTAAGTGAGACCACTCTGATAAGACCCCTAAGTCCTGCTACAGCTACACTGGTTTCTATTACCCCTTCAGCTGTCTCGCAGTACACCCAACACACCTGGGGGTGAAATTTAGAGTAAAATGTACAGTGAAATGTACTCTGTACAGGGAATTTAAGTGATATCTTCAAGTGTTAAATGATCGACGACGATTATTGGAACCTTAATCATTAATAATAATTATTCATTATTGGAATATTAATAGGCAAAACAAACGAAAATAAAAGAAAAATACGAACAAAGATAATAGAAACAAAACAACAAGTCACATCTGACAAACTCACAGTGTAGAATATCTCATCAGTACAGGGATCAGAATAAGACTGGATAACATTGACACTGTTGTCAGTGCACTCGTATACTGTTACTCTGTTACTACCTGGCTTATTTATTATTAATTAATTAATTTAAATTGCGTACATTGTCAAGGGTCCGGGACAATTTGGATACACTGTAGTTTTTTATCTTCAAAAGCGAATTATAAATGGAATAAATCAATTATTCAGTAATGAATAAACTAATAAATACATAATAATAAACTAATTAGTAGATAATTAATAACTTGTTTATATGATTACGTACCCACGGTAGCGAATACAGGGGGATTGTCAGGGTGATTGTAAGGGTTAAATGCTACTCCAAATATTGGTTCCTTGTGATCTTCCTTACTCCAACTGGTGAACCTGAACAAAGATCAAAAGATATAATTACTCTTTCAACACTTATTATTTCATTTATTAGTTACTTTATTCATTTCATCGTACCGTTCAAATGTGCACATTTAAACGAAGGGTTTATATTACTTGATTGTATAGTAATATTCCACTGTATAATGTACAATGTACATTACAACAGACAACAGTATACTTACTTGAATCCTTTTCTTTTAGAGAATTCTCTTTTTTCTACTTTTATCTTCTTGGCTCTCATTCTATTGCAACATTATGTTAAAATCTTAATTATAAAAATAACTCTTATTTGTTAAATTATTGTGGCCAATTTATATTATCAAACAATACAATTGTGAGTTGATTGAATTTTTGAATATTACCTTATAATTCCATTGAGTCAAGAAAAAAAATGCGATCAAATTAAGTGATAAATCAAGGAAAATTGTCTGCCATTATACTCACATTACACATTACCCTATATTACATAAATTTACTGCTCTTATAATATAACTTATATTAAGCACTAAGCAGTGATCACACCAAAAAGTAATTTCAATTATTCTTAACGCAGATTAAAATAAGCATATTATTAAAAACGCTCACAATAAGTGTAGTAAATAATTAAGTTATATACTTATTTCATTTTTAAGTTAAAGATCAAAGAAGATCATTTATTTCTCAGTATAAAATTGATTTCCTCTTAACAAAAAGTCAAGCACCACGCAGTCAGTTACGGTTAAATGAGCTCTAAAATCATCAATGTAATTAATAATTAATTATAGTTACGAAAATTTAAATTATAAAACTCAAAATTGAAAATATGAAAAAATATAGTCTAACTCTTATATTATTGAATTTTTAAAGTAACAAAATTAATCAAATTATTCACTCCTTCATGACACAATACAGTTTTCAATGTTAGCAAGTTTAACAAATTCAAACTTAATTAAACAACTAATAAACTTCTTCGATACCATTTCCAGGGACTCATCGATCTCAACTTCACTCTTCTTAATAAAATCTAAGACATGGAAATCCTCTACAAGATTCACTTCAGGATTTCTCACCAAAGTAGATGCAAGAACATGAAACAACTCGATAACAAAATTTCGGGAATGAGCCTCAAAACAGTTCAAAAACCGCTCAATCTTCATAGCAAAGAAAGGCTCCGAAACCTTAGTACCAAGAATATCACCTGAAACAAGATAACAATGACCACAAGTAAACCGAATGTTCTGGTGCTGCAGAATCAGCCAGACACGTGAACTGAAGTTGTCCGGTACTCGTCCCAAAGTCCCATTAATAAGCCGGTGTTCCTGCCATGGTCCATTTCTGGAGATACTGTTACTGTATGTTAGCAGGTACCTGATTTTCTTACCCAACCTATGAGGTGACAGTGTCTCGAGAGGTGACAGTGTCTCGAGAGGTGACAGTGTCTCCACAGGTGACAGTGTCTCCACAGGTGCCTCCTCCGGAGTCATCACCGTCTGTAACAGGTGTATCAGAGAACCAACCCTGATTATCAGGATTCCTTTAAACAGCTCCGGATGATCGACTAACAGGTCAGCAACACAGATCAGACACTCCTGTTGGAGGGTGGAGTGGAGGAGACTTTGTTTGCCCACTTGGTTGTGGAGAATGCCGTGGAGCAGTCTGGGGTGAAGAGGTCCTTCCACCAGGATCTCTGGCTCACCGTGCACCCCCAGAGAGAGGGACCTCCCTGAGACTATCACAGCAGAGACTGATGGAGCTAAACTGTCCACGGTTTTACCGAGGAAGCCACCAGAACAACGAAGTGCTAGCCAGTCTCCCTCCAAGTTCTTGTAGTGATGTTCCATTGTTTCAACAATTGTTTCTCTGTCCATTTTGTAGTCTCGACCATATCTAGCGGATAGTTCGATCAGAGCTATAATGTTATTTGCAGTGACGGGGTTTGTTACTGCTCGATTCGAAAGACTATCCCTGTCCATGGTTTGGCATTCGGCCAATATCTCGGAGTATTTTCTGACACTCTCTGTTTCTTCATCTGAATTGTACTTTGCCTCAGCATATCCGAGGTCAGACCCAGTCAAACTCTTGATAGAGAGAGTTTTCCTCCGCAAAACAGGACTTGCAAGTATTCTATTAGCATGGAAATCCATGTGAGGAGCCACGTTAACTATCTCCATCTTACAGGCTGCAGTTATAAGTTCCTGGAGTCTCCCCGTTTTAATGGGTACATTCTTAAAGCTCCCAGTCTTAAAGCTGTTGAGTAAAGTGAAAAGGAGTTTGCTGTTCTTTTTGAACAGGGTAGATGTCAAGAGAAGGCAAAAAGTCGGACGAGCGCTCTCACGCCAATGTTTCTTCAGGAACTTTAAGTGAGACTTGATGGCTTTCGCCACGAATGTCTCATCTTTGGAGATGTAAAAGTCTTGCTTATCCTGAAACAGTGGGATACAGATGACAGTTTTACCCCCTATTTTCCATATCCGGGACGTACACAGGGACCCTAAGGGACGTTTAGGACGACCAGTCAGCCCTAACACCTCGTCACTGCCATGATAATATAGGAGGTCTACAAGTTTACTACTGGGCCACACATAAACACTTTCTATTTGGTTGGGGGTCTGACTGGTTATACCGTAGGTGGAGAGCAGGGCCTGGAATGCTAAGGACTCTGATAACAGGGCGATCTGGATTATGGGGTGTCCCACATTGCATGTGTTGTGGATCTTTCTTCTCCGGTAGTCTATCTCGTGGGGGAGGATAAGCTGTTTCTCCAGCAACTCTGTTAGGATAAGGAAAGCTTGGAAAACAGTGCTCGGATTTTTATTTAACCCATCCTGAGACTCATCTTCATTGTGACAATAGTTCAGGGGTAAAGTGGGGTAGCCCTCCGTTTTGTACAAGATTGGATCTAGAATATCACGATATTTGCTTATATCCTGTATCCTCCCCTCAAATATACACGTCATTATTTGAAAAAGGACAATAAAGGGCCACTCTAACTCCATACTTTCTGTAACAGGGACACTATTATCATTCAGAGACTCCTCAGGACCTGACTTCCGACAAAAGTCCCCAATGAACCTCTTATAGCCACGTGTCCCCAGCAGTTCACTCTCAACATTCTTCTCAATAACCTCACACAGATCAGGGTCCTCCACCACAAAAGCCGGGAACCCCTTGGTCATGATGAGAGCTGAGTCCACGTCAATACTCCTAGACTCCCTGGGTAGGAGGCTATGAAGGATTGTCACATTCCTGAACACAGCGTCCGGGTCTACAAACAGAACTGTTTCGTGTGAGCACCCTTCTCCGAACATGTTCAGACCATCACAGAGGTTCAGGGCTGCTATTGTTATGCCTATACTGCTGGCTGATAGCTCTGGTTCCTCAGGACGGTCTCTTCTTCCTTGGCCCCACATGCCGAAATCTTTGATTCTATACGCTCGTTCGATGTAGTAGATGAGGTTCTGGATAATGTTGCTTTCTTGGAAAGTGTAGATTAGGACCAAGCCACTGCGGATCATTTGGGAGAGGTAAAATAGGTAGAGGGAGACAGCCCGGATCTGAGGGGGAGTTTGTGTTACACAGCTACAGAAAGCAATAAACTGTTTGATAGAAGTTGAGATTTAAAAGCATAGACCTAAAATTTGAACTTCAGATGACACAGACAAACCAAAACTTCGGATGACGACTCACTGGAAACAAAACTTAAAGTTAACTGGTAGAGTTAAACCTCATTTTACCGAGATATTTGTGGAAATATTTAAGGAAACAGTACTGGTACAGTAAAACCTCAATTACCGAGGAATTTGGGAGACGGAAACAGCCTTTAAGTAAATCGGGGTTCGTGGTTAAACTGTGTTTTGATTTTTCACATTATGTATTATATCAAAGAAGCAATACCTGCATGTGGTGGTAATCCTGAGCAAGTTCATCACCAGTGTCCGGGTCAAACTTGGTGTGAAGACAGTACTGAGGGTCTTGTTGGTGCTTAAACTTCTCGAGCTTATCAAGCTGCCTACATGAGACAAGTAGAAGTTACACTTTAAGTACGCGTATGTGAAGTGTGCGGAGAATTTGTATTCGGCTTTTGAAAACTGGGGACTGTTAGTGCCATCTTTGAGATTTGTTTACTATTTTCCCGTAGAAATCAACATGATAGATATTATGATGTGTTTAGCTTTGAAGTTTCGATCGAATATGATGTTTAATGCTTAGTCTGATACGTTTCAACCCATTACTTACTTGCTGAAGCAGAACAGGATGGCTCTCATTGTCTTGATTGCGGTCTGCTCCAATTCTATTTGTCTCCCAGTACCATCATTCAGTCTGCCGAACACCTTAATGGAGTGGAGATCTAGTACGGCACTTGTACTAGATCTCCATGTTTCCCAGAGCCATCAACATAATACAACACCATGCAAAATAGAGTGGAGGGGGGGGGGGGGGGCATCGATATGCATTTGACCAAAAGTTAAGGAATAAATGGGCTTCGTTGTAACTAGAGTTTTAGCTGTTTTTGAGCCGATGCCGATTTGACCAAAAAATAGGCATTACAGTCACCAAGATACATCTTGGTGACAGTAAGGTTGCGAACCCCCCCCCCCCCCCCCCCCCCCCCCCCATTTGGTTGCAGGGCAACACAGTAAAATAAGAGTAACATGCTAATTACCAACACAATTTCTCCATTACATCATCAACTAACATAATGAAGATTACCATCCACCTAGTAGGACTTAAAACAAAAGCGAACCTTGCTAAGAGCCCATATAGTCACAGCACAGTACACATTATCAGTTATATAGCTGGATCTGGACCTGGGAAACAACCCCAGAGCAGGGGTCTGCTTGGAAATGAGGTGGGAGTGGACCCAAGAGTAGTAGTAGTCAGCGAGCTCAGTTTTAGAGGGGTCTTTGTTAGATGGGTGTTTTGTGGAGGGTGCCTTTTGCTCCGGTGCCATATTGAGCTGAGTCAGATCGTGTGTATCGGATTAAGATTACCGGTTATATCTCAGTGCGTCCATTCTAGGGGTCTTCCTTTCTTCTACCAAGGCAGGATTAATCTTAGAACATGATCCTTCAGGAAAAGCGGAAGTTAGTCATGAGAATGAAATCATCTGACAATAATCAATTCATCATTGGTTATCCATATATACGTCGATAATATTTTATGACCAAGGGTTTACCGATTTATAGTTATCCTGTGAGCCCACTACCCAGCATGTACATTGAACGCTGATTCTAGACATTTAATTTTTTTGAATAAATGTCGATTGTACAAAATCATAATGGTGTATTCCCTTCTCCTTCCCCTTAATAGGGATCGTTCATATATTACGTAATCACTTTTTGGACAATTTTTACCCCCCTCCGTAATCAGTTTTACACCTAGCTATTGTATCAAAATTACACCAGCGTTATCATTTGGAAACCCCCCTCCCCCCTCGGCTGATTGCGTAATATGTGAACCCCTTATGTATGTAACAAAGCCACTTCAATTAAACTGTAAATTGTAACATTGTGACTTGATAGACGAACACTTAACACACGTCTCGAATTTAGTGGATTTACGGTTCACTGCAATCAAACTATCAAAATAACAAGATTTAACGTTCATTGAATTTCTGAGCTTCGAATAAAACCACCAGGTTCAGTTTGCCAGAAACTAGAAAACTAATACGATAAAAATAAATGAGAAACGCTCATGAAAGGGTTTCCATGAGCAAATGGCCCTTCCCATACACACAATAGTTACACACTATTTTACTCTGTTGGTAGTGTCAGTGGAAAACATTTTAGAAATGATCAATGAACGAAATATCCTTCGCATATCGTCAAGAGTTGAAATCGACAGTTTAACTGATAAAATATCACATTAGTTGTTTATTTCTGCTGGTTCTCAGTATGTTTATGAAAATGCATGGTAACAAGTGGCACTCAACTTTCAAATAAAACGAAATTAATTTAATCAACTTTCAATATGTCTGTAGGGAACTTTACTCATTTCAAATCCAAAAATTTACAGAAATTGCTAGTGTTTCTACAAATGATAATATAGACCGTTAATCGATTATGTTACTGTTGTAAAATTTGGAAAATTGATCGAAGTTTGTCATTGAGATTATTTCTCTCACTTCCGAGCTCCAAAACTCTCGGGGGAAAATGTGACAACACGACCCTAAAATCCCGGAAATTCCTTGTATCGTACAAACTTAACAATACACCAGTCAAAGCTAAATCGAGGGACGTAAGTATAAAACGGCAGTGGACACTAAATAGAAAATAAATATAACACTTCAAATCGTAGTTGTTTCGCTTCTCAAATATTTAACCAAAATGGCAACTAAAAACGGCTGCAAACAGAAGTTTTGATGCCCGAATGGTAATCTTTATTTCACGTAGAAAACAATTGAGTGTAGCCTTCTAAATCATCAATTTGGCATAGAAATAGCAATAGCACCCATGTCGTCATTTATATTCACGGTATTGGTTGGTTCTTTAGGCTTGTCGATGGCAGATATTATAGACAGAATTAAAGAGTTAGTTTCACAGTTTGAATTGAAGCACTAATTTGCAGGTCAGAATTAAAGGACGTGTTTGGAGCCGTTTCCATTTTAAATGAAAATAATATCTGCCTCACGTCGTGTTTACAACAGATTCACGAGACCAACCCGTGTGTTCGCATTTAAAACGTGTGACGAAGTGTGACGTCTCTGAGACGAAATGTGACGTCACGGAACTGATGTCGTCACTGTGTTACTGGTATTTGTGAGGGTCTTCTCTGCTTCAAGGGGAGTTGGACCATTCTTGCGATATGCTCACTGAAAATTGTTTTTATCAGAGTTTTGATATGTACTTTGTTGGACTATTGATGGTTAATGTGATGAGTAATGTGATGTAGTGTATGGAATGTACTCTCGGTAACTCGAATTGCGGGGATCGTTGTGTTCAAGAAAGCTGGTGATAGAAAGAAGTGTGTCTGGAGGAGAAATCATTGTATTCCACGAATCCATATGTATACTGGTGGAGAAGTGGACCATGTTTCCTATATGTCGATGTCGATGTCATGTATCAGAAAAATCATGATTCACCACCCCACCAGTATCTAGACCTATTGATTAAAAAGTATACGGAGTATGGTTGAATAATTATTGTCAAAAGAAGATTATCACGAACAAACGCGAAAGATCCCACGATATCATGATGAGATATCAATTTTAGTAAGCCCCGTGATTAATCCTGCATTTAAAGGTACTGATATATTATATAATCCTTGCGATCGGAAATTTATGTAGGAAGGAAGGCAGTTATTTTAGGAGCTCGTTTTGAAAGTCGAACTGTAACTTCAAGGGGCGGCAGAAGGGTGCCCAACTTCCTGGCAAGTGTAACCAATCATGAAGATGAGAGATAGTATAGTTAGACAGATGGTGAATGCGAAAATAATTAAATTAAGGGGAAGGCCAATGGAAGTCTTTTAGAAGCAGCCATCCAAGCTATAATCAATTTACCCTCAATTAGGTCAATCACCGAATATTGATACGCGCGGATGTTTGCCCGACGCGCGCACAGGTTTTCAAATGAGGACTCGGCGTTGCAATAACACTAAATACTTCGCGTGTTTCGTCACAAACTCACAACAGACACCGGTTGGGTACAAACGGAGACAGTTATTTTATCTCGGACGCAGATCGATTTAGTTAAGCGGCGCGCGGACCATGTATGGAATAACTGGCTGGTAACGCGTGAGATTTATAACGCGTGTGGGAATAAATATGCGAGCTAAGGATGGAGGAAGCAACGCGACGTATCAACATCATGAAATACTGCGTACAGACTGCCAGAGATTAAAAAACATGATAAATGAAAATAATGATGAAATAGCCGTACAGTGGATTAGTCACTAGAGAAAATAGAAAAAAATTTAAACCAGATAACATCTTGGCGTTTAAAACTCTAGAGAACTAACCGTTATATCAGTGGTGTTTTCTAAATCAAGTCTGACTCGTTTCGCTTCAATTAACTTTCTGTGCAATTCCTCTATCTGTTCTCGACTCTCTGAATAGTTGTTATCATTATTTTCAAGACAAATAATTCATAACATCGATAAAAAAACATGAAAAATATCAACCACATCTTGTTGATGTGATTTGTAATTCCAGTCACGTGTCACATCAAAATTATCATCTCATATCTGAGTAAACGCAGATCCATTAAGATCATCTATTTTGAAATATTACAGCCCCACAGACTATTAAACACACAGAATATGTGGCGAACCTAATTTTGATAATCTGAAAATTCCTTTTGCGTGTTTTATAACATTCCAAGGTCGTGATGAAAGCAATCTACGAAGATATTTTTATTGCCGAATTTGAACAGGCAACATTTTCAAGGAAGTATCACTATTAATACACTATTAATTATTACGCGTGGAATTTATAACTGGTTGGGAGGTTAACCATATTAGGATGCAGTGAAACCATCGGACTACGATGAATGGGGACCTGCCAGCCCATGGCAACATTAAAATATATCGACTCTGTTACATCTTTTCCTGTTAATATGAAACTCCGTAACAAACTGAACTGGGATCCATATTTGTTTTGACACGTAACAGCAATCTTGGGCTTTTACAGATCAACACTTGAAGCTGATTAGATAAATCGCTATTCACTATATTATGATTGTTTAGCAAGGTTATAATTATGTTTAATACTGTCAGCGTTATATCTTTTGCCGATATTTACGGGGCATAAATACCCTGTTTTCCGTTTCACATTTTTTCTGATTATGTAGTTGATAAATCTTTGTTAAAATCCGTAGGAGTCAGTCGAAAATTCAACAACATGCTTGATGCTAATGCAGTCTAATCTATAAATAGGTAGCAAACTCACGGTAATTCATACGATGAGATTATTAAATAGCTTAAAGAAGTTTTTACCACATCTGTAAAGTAAATCCAATTCAGCTCTAAAAGTGGTCACATAAGTTCCTACTATTATTGAAAATTATTAGACCCTTAAAATTGTTTGTTTAAAATTAGAGTCATAAAGTGAACTTTGTATTTGCCTAGTTTTACTGAAATTATACCATTAAACGAATTGCATCAATCGCAGAATAACTGACGCAAGACCGAAAAACAGTTAATAACTGAGTTTACATGTTATGAATATTAAAATTGGTGGATAAGTTATATTACATATAGATAAATCTGCACTGGGAACTGGAAAAATATTGTCGTTTTACCATTTGGCAGTAAAGTCGAGTTTTAACTGGTCAACACTGGAAGCTGATTGGTTAATACCTGTCACATGATCAATTTTAACGTACCCTGATCTACGGCCGGATCCTCCATGACATCAATAACGTTCACGTCCATACTCTCCTCCGCGTCCTTCTCCTCCTGCCATAATTACTTGTTAATTACTTCAAGTTAATTACTTGTTAATTGTACGTCGATTATTTGTTGATCACGCGTTAATTACTCGAACAATAATTATTAACAAACTATCTCGATATAATTAGTTAAACTATAGTGTGACTTTACAATGTGGCTACTATATTAAATATTTCATAAGTTTCTCACGCAAAATACACACTACACGTGATGTACTAAACATGTACAATGTACATGTAAAATGTATTTAGTACAACATATTTCCTGGACATTCCTGCCCCACTACATTGCTACATTGTCATTACAGTGGTCTGTCATTTTTAACGCATTTTCCACTCATTTTTCTCAAGGTAGCTCATGTCGTCCTAGTTATAATTACTCAAGACATTATTCTACATTTATAATTTTCTTGGCACGTATCCAAAAATTATTATCACAAATCAATGCATTTCATGTGGACAATGTTTGACACCATTTAATGACTGATAACTCCTCAATAAATTACATTATGACATTGACAAATAAATTACATCTTATCCTCCGTTCTATTTATAGAATGAATACATACTTTGAAGTAACTTTACAATAACTCTTAAATGAACATGGCTTTTGTTGGGAATGTTCGAGACTCTTTTATTCTATTTGTTTATCAATAGTTGATTAAACTATAACAACCTCCCAATTCACGTCAAAGGCTTTGTAAAAATATGACTCAGAAGTTAGGATGCTAATAAATTTGTAATTTTAGCCGTTTGCGCTGATTGCGATAGTATTATAGTTGGCTATCCTAAGTTCGTGTTTCAAAGTTCACCAACAAATAAAAAACAACATAAAAGTTGTCATCCACGAACCTTACACTTAGAACAGAACCATTCCCCATCAGGAACTTGTTTAAGTGGAGGATCCAAACAAAAGAGATGATAAACACGTGGGCATTTGTCACACATGAGCAGCTCCCCTGCCATCCGGCACTTGCTGCAGTAGTTGTCGTGCGTGTCTGGAGATAGATCACATTTTAATGGTAATCATTTAATTGTTTGATAAGTTAGAAAGCTAATTAATCAGCTAATTATCCGCTAATTTATAGGAGGCTTGTCACACAGCTCCACTGCCATCCGGCACTTACTGTAGTAGTCTTCGTGCGTGTCTGGAGATAGGCACGTGATTACTGGATTAATTTGCAAACTTTTAAAATTATATAATGTGCAATTGTAAGTTTACAACGTTAGTTCAAATAGTGCACTATCCATTAAAAGATGAGTATTCTTTACGACAACGTTTGTTGTAAAAAATCAGTGTAGTTTTCTGTTTACTTTATTGTCTTAAAAATTTCATCAGCGACAATTGAATATAGAAAAAACTTATTAAATAAGGTTATAGATTCAGTATTTAATTAAGTAATAAATTAAATAATTATCCATAAATTAAGGACCAACTTACCACCATCGTTGTCCATGTCATCTTTTCTAGGTCGTTTTCTTTTCCTCTCAAAAGAAACTTTTTCCAGCTGCAGAATGTTCCTGAATGATCACAAAAATCAGAAAGATTCTTCAGCGGATATTTCTTGATGACGTCATCATATTATGATGCGTGACGTCACTGAAACTCAATACCAGCTAATTAGATTTATCAGTTAAGATTGTCAAGGTAATGGCTGTTTTGCCACTACACCGTTAAGATACATACCTCTTAATTAAATAAAACGATCTGATAACCATTTTAACAGGAATGGTTAAATTGTTCCAGTTATGTTTTAAAGTTAAAATCGTACTGTAACTTGGATCAAGTGAAATGGAGGGAAATTCTGGGGCCTAAATTAAACTTTCCTCTTTTCTCTAGATTGGGCGTCGGGAGGGATGATTTTTATGTCATTAAAATGGCAAAGTAGTCAAACTTTTATAAACTATATATGCAGAATCAACGTGCGTGCGTGTGTACTGTGTAACTTGTAATCATTAATTACTCAATCATTTAAATTGTGGTTTGACTAGATTAGAACTCAACTCTTAAGTTAATCATGAGTACGCACTGAGAAAAAGCAAAAAAGTAGACCTCGTTGAAAAATTAAATTTCACCACATTTATATCATGAATCTATCAACACTGTTTTAATCTTAAAGTCTTAACTACAACAAATCTCTTTAAATCCTTTAAAATAAGAGCATAAACCCACCTAGCCTCCTCTATTCTCCTCTTCCTGTTAGCATGTGAGAGAATGAGGCGCTGGTGCTCCTGTCTAGTTATCAGCCCCACCACGCTCAGAAACTGTACTTTCTCTTTGCTGTGATGCACCACCGGCAGGTTCTGGCAGTTAGTGTTAGTAACACACGTGATATGTTTAATAGCACGCGGTACATTTTATAGCACGTGGTACATTTAATAGCACGTGGTACATTTAATAGCACGTGGTACATTTCACAGTACGTGGTACATTTAATAGCACGTGGTACATTTAATAGCACGTGGTACATTTAATAGCACGTGGCACATTTCACAGCACGTGATACATTTGACATAATTGTTTCGCATAATTACACTGAGTGTGTAGATAAAGTATGATTAACTAAATTAAATCAAGGATCAATTAGCGTATCATTAGAATAATTATCGTCTAATTAGAATAATAAGCGTCTAATTGGACGAATAAAAGGTAAATAATACCTGTAGCAGGTCGATGGTGGGAACTCTGACTGGTTTCCTAAGTTGTTGAATGTGACTAGGACCAGGCTTGTTAACATTGTACAGTGAGGTGGTGTTCAGTTTGGGGCGGTGAGCTGCCGTCTGTATCTGCCGTCTTAGCGAGGGCGACTTCAGGGGCTTCGGAGACGAACCCTCTAAGGGGAGACAACACGTGAGTCAAACTAACCAATCAGAGGACTGTATCCTAGACAGCTAACTTTAGGTTACCAATCAGAGTGTTATTATAGAATATAATCAAATTTTTGACAGCTGAATAAATAATTTAATGAACCATTGTATTCATGCTGCGAAGGATTAAGTAAGTCAGGATTTAATTATGTTAGTTGTAAACCCTACTACATACAGCCTAAGCTATAGATACTAGCGCGGCATGCCGTTGCCCCTCCTACGGACTATAAGTGCTGCTTGAAATGAAAAGTCCGTTTTGTAACCTTAGTAAAAGGCCAATGAGTGCCGAAACTTTATTTTCATTCAGTTTTCACCATGACCAGTTATTTGCCTTGTTTTATTTTGTTAGTCGAGAGCCGTGAATCGTGATGCTCCCTACTAAACACTACAATGTAATTTATCTTAATGTTGAATATTATGTTGAATATATTATGTTAGATATGATAAAAATATGTTAAATATGTTAAAACGAACCCATTTGCTGCTGCGAGTTGCGTAACCGTAGTACATTTGAAATAATAGCTGTCAGTTCGTTCTTGATGTCCGACGGGTTGGAACTCTTTGCCTTCAGCTGGTCCTGTGCAACAAAACTTAATTATTAAACTAATTAAAAATTAATTAACTAACTTAATTACAATGATAGATAGCGATTACGTCGAGTTCTTATTATACATTACATACGCATTACGCTGCTATAAGATTGGCTGTCAGTCACATGAATATCATGACTTTTTCAGAGCTGGGGTATTTTGAAAATGTTACGCGGTTTTAAAACCTTTACTCAGATAATTATAAGGAGCCCAAAGTAAAGAAAAGCAAATAAAAAATAACTTATTAAAGTAACTAATAACTTGATAAGGTTACTTAAGATAAAGAAAAATAATAACTCGATTAAGTAATTGAAGATAAATAAAATCAATTAACAAATAACCCGATTAAGTAATTCAAGATCTAAAAACATTAAATAACGAATAGCTTTATAGATCGATTCAAAATAAAGAAATTAATAAATAAATTAAATAAATAAATAACAAGTAACGTGATAAAGTAACTGAAGATAAAGGAAGTCACTAACTTGATAATGGGGTACCTGTAAGGTTTTCAAGTTGGCCGCCAGATTTGGGTTCGATCCTTTCAAAGCGTTTTCTATTAACATCAAATGTTGGTTCTGATTCTGAAAATGGAAAGATGTTATTCTAAATTTCCAAAACAATAAATGAAATAATCATCGAATGACCGTGTCTGGGCTGAGGGAAGTAAGTTTAAATCTTATTTAAAACCCTTACCTGAAATTGAGTTTTATGGTTGAGGTATCTAATATAACTTTAAACCTCACCTGAGGTTGAGTTGTATGGTTGAGGTATCTAATATAACTTAAAACCTCAACTGAGGTTGAGTTGTAGGGTTGAGGTATCTAATATAACTTTAAACCGCTGGCCTCACCTGAGGTTGAGTTGTATGGTTGTGGTGACTTGCGGAGGGCCTCTGCTTCGGAGGAGGTAGAAACTGCTGTTTCAAAACTTGTTGTTGCTGCTGTTTACTCATCACCGCCTGTGCGACGTTTTTAATTAATAAAATTTGGCAATTTGTTAGCAAATTTATTTTAAAAAGTTACTAAAAAATTACTAAAACTTCCTTTTTGACTATCCTCTTACTCCTTTAACAGTGAATATTTACTGGAAAGCATCATCATCAACATTAAATAGATTAAATAATCGGCTAATTAATGAGATAAACTAATTAACTAAGTGAACTAATCGATTAAGGGGGCAGGGGGGGGTCTTCATGGAAATTTTCTCAAAATCGACTTTTTAGTTGTTTCTGATAGAGGGGAGTGATATCTATCAGATGATTTCAATCCGATGGAAAAATATTGCTCCTAGCAGAAATTATCGCCGGTAGAAGGTCAGCGCTTGTGTGTAATTGTATTGCGCGAGCGATTTTTGATCGCGTGCCCTGAAAATCGAGTCTAAAAATCTATCTCCTCCTACATTTTTTGAGCAATCACCCTCAAACTTTCAGGATATGTTCTAGGGATCATTTAGAAGAGATTGTCCAGGCAAAATTTTGAGATAGGCCTTTAAACATTTTTTATTCGATTTTGAAAATCTTGGACCTGGTTTTTTGATGATTTTTCGAGGTCCAAGATTTTTAAAATCGAATAAAAAATGTTTAAAGACCTATCTCAAAATTTTGCCTGGACAATCCCTTCTAAATGATCCTTAGAACATATCCTGAAAGTTTGAGGGTGATTGCTCAAAAAATGTAGGAGGAGATAGATTTTTAGACTCGATTTTCAGGGCACGCGATCAAAAATCGCTCGCGCAATACAATTACACACAAGCGCTGACCTTTTACGGGCGATAATTTCGGCTAGGAACAATATTTTTCTATCGGATTAAAAGCATCTGATAGATATCACTCCCCTCTATCAGAAACAACTAAAAAGTCGATTTTGAGAAAATTTCCATGAAGACCCCCCCTGCCCCCTTAAATAAATGAATCAACGAAATAAAATTGTTAGCTAAATACACTAATTAACTAAAACACCAATTACCTGTAATAACTGCTGAACGACGTTGTTGGAGGACCCCGCGAGACCAGAAGAGGACACGTTTACTCGCTGCTGCTGTTGATGTTGCTGCTGTTGTTGATGGTGTTGTTGTTGTTGCTGTTGTTGTTGGTGATGTTGTTGTTGTAGTTGTTGATGAGAAGAGTGTGGTTTGGGATGTGTTGTGTGCTGCTGTACCGCTTGCTGTTGTGCCTGAAGACAGGGTGCGTTCAAGAGACAGTGCAAGGGTCGAAAGTTTAAACGTTTATTTAATTTATTCATTCACACGTTAATATATTCATATATCTATTTATCTAATTCATTCTTTATTTAAGTCACCTGTGTCCTGTTGGCAATGGCCTGCTGTAGCAGGGCCTGGAGCTGTCGTTGTGGTATCTGTTGGGGCTGTCCTCCCTGTCGTTGGGGCGTGGACACGTTTTGAAGCACGTCCTGGCAGGATTAGACAGATTAAACAGGTTATAAAGATTAGACAGGTTATAAAGATTAGACACTAGACAGGTTAAAGTCGGGTTTGAGACGGGTTATAAAAGTTACGTAGAGTAGGCAGGTTTTCAGGTTATTTCAAACGGGTTTAAAAACAGGTTAAAATTACGAGCACAGTGAGGTCTCAAATGTTTCACGGTATCTAATCTTAGATTTGTGACCCAATTTTAATGCTTTCAACATAACTATAGAACAAATAATTAGCGGATGGATCACTAGGTTCGGTTGCATGTGTATTGTGTAAGGTGATATTAATTGGTCCCAAATTTCGTGAAACTTCCCGTTTAATTTTGTAGATATATGTAAGGATACAGCTCAGTAAGAGCCATTTAGCCGTTATATTAGGTTGAGACTGATGTTTAAGAGGGCCGGGGGCCGGGGGGGGGGGGGTCTTCATCAAAATTATCTCGAAATTGATTTTATAGTTGTTTCTGATAGAGGGGAGTGATATCTATCAGCTGCTTTTGGTCCCATGGAAAAATATTGTTGCTAGCCGAAATTATCGCTGGTTAAAGGTCAGCGCTCATGTTTAATTGTATTGCGCGAGCGATTTGCAGTCGCGCGTCCTGAAAATCGAGTCTAAAAATCTATCTCCTCCTACATTTTTTGAGCAATCACCCTGAAACTTTCAGGATATGTACTAGGGACATATAGCCATGGGACCAAAAGCAGCTGATAGATATCACTCCCCTCTATCAGAAACAACTATAAAATCAATTTCGAGATAATTTTATTTTATATGATTTTTTATAGTTGTTTCCCCCGGCCCCCTTAACTTCAAAGTATCCTCGATTTAATTTGAAAGTTAATTTCATATTAGGTTTTTAAATTAGCAAGGCCAGCCTTCTGGGTTTTCAAATAACAAAATATCAGCCCTCTGCAAATCTGAAAATAATCAAATAAATTCTAGTGTTACTTTTAACACGCTTCAACATTTTCATATTAGAAAAATACGTGATGTCCTAAAACAAAATTCGCAAGACATATGGTTATAATATATATGGTATGATGCTTCATGCTTCATAAACTGTATTATAAAAAATGCTCCCTCCTTGAACGTTAAAGAGGTCTGAAAATTCGATTGCAAATGATTGATGACGTTCTTAAACAGGTTTTCAGTAAATACCAATAATCACTAGGTCGCCTTTGCTTTTTAATATATGCACCATCCCATAAAATAACCCACCCCATATAATCTATACATAATATTGATTTAATGTAGCCCGAGCCCCGATGAGTCCTAACTCTCCTCGTGGCTCGCCTCCTATCATATAAAACATCCCATACATAAGTAATTCCTGATTAAACTCAGCTGCTCTCTGAGTGAAATGAAAAAGAGGTTTGAAAATTTGTTCGCGACAAGTCACTGTAAAGTGTAAATTATGATAGATGTTAAACCGTTTATCAGTAATTATTTTACCAATAATCACTTGGTTGCCTTTCTTTTGGCACGACCTCCTTTATATATAATGGACCATCCCCTACATGCACCGTCCCATACTAAAGTAGTTCCTGATGAAACTCAGCTAACCTGATTAAACCCAGCTGCTCTCTGAGTAGAGGACTGTTGTTGTTGGTGTAGTTGTTGGTAGTTTACACGCTGCGAGGTGGTAGCAGTACTGGTGGCTTGCTGGTGTTGGGGCGACGCTGCCATGTTACGACTTAGACCTTGGTTCTGAAAGATTTAGGTACATAAATAATTATTTATAGATAAATGTTGTTTATTAAATAAATAATTGTATATTTCCCAGCCGCTTTATCAATTTGACGATCGGTTGTAAATTGGATGATATTCATGCTCGAATATAATCTACACTCTTGCTTTGCAGTTACCCGAACTCTTTAAATCACATGGTCTAACATAGTGATATATTTGTTGTTACTTTCTTAGGGTTCTTGAAACATTGAAGTGGTATGATAGTTTGTTAGTGATAAAAGCGTAAAAACCATGTGTTAATCTTCTTTGGCCGATATATATCTGTTATTTTATCCTCATATAAATTGCTGACATTTCAGGTACCAATTTCAGTAAACACCAGTAATTAATCCCTCGATTAACGGTCCGGTTGTTTTGTACTCCCCGGCGCGGTAGAAGCCCGGTGAACGGTAATTGTAAGGTTTACACAATGCCACATTCCATAACAAAATTCCAAGGCCACACTCGGACAAGTTCATTGTTAAAGTTGGAGCAAGTTCAGGCAATGTTTCACACTGAGAACAGGTCATGCTGCTGCCGTTATACTGCCATGCTACATTACCACGGTGGTGGCTTTTACTAATTCACTCGCTAGTGCGTTGTCGCGTGACTTGGGTTTTTACTGTTTTGTAACCGAAAGAAATGGTCTCACCAAAACCCTAACCTTTAACATAACGTGTCACGTGACTTAACATAACCCTGACATTTATTAGTCACCTTTATCAGTGACGCCAGAGTCTGTTGAAGTTGTTTGAGTTTTGGCTGACTAGCTGCAGTGGGTTCCACCATACTCTTTATCTTAGAAACTAGCTGTAGAAGACTGTCATTCCGTGCTGAGGGGACTGCTGCTGCTGGTGGTGGGGCTGCTGGAGCGGGTCCTGTTGCCGGCTTAATCACCTGATCAGTAACATGTTATTCGAACGAAATTGAATCAACTTTGACGGAATAAACTTTAATAGAACAAACTTTAATGGACAACATTTTCATAGAACAAATTTTGATAGAAGAAAACTTTGACAGAACAAACTTTGACAGAACAAACTTTGACAGAACAAACTTTGATGGAACAAACTTTGATAGAACAACCTTCACAAATATTCCATAAATTTACTCAACTTGCATCAGGTACTGATGTAATTCAATCCTACATTTCAGCATAAAACATAAAACTGAGCTATCATAATTACGCCAAATATGGGCATCACGTGAAACTCCAAATAAGGGCAAACGAACGTACCTGGGTCACAACCAAATCATCATCATCATCAATTGTAATGACACCGTTAGATCTGCTACTCGTCCCGACTCCAGAGGGAGCAACCCCGCTCGCGCGGGTCTGACTAGCTGGTATGAGCGCAGGGATAGGGGGCGAGCTGACAGAGCTAACTGGCGAAGGGCTGGGTTTGTTAAGGTTTATCAGGGACGGGATTAGTTTTTGTATGAAGGATTGTTGAAGACTGGTCATGGGAGGGGTTATATTGGAGGTGGTAGCAGGGTGAGAGGAGATCACAGGTTTAACATCTGCTAAAGATATTATCGTGTCTGGTTTTTGGAGTGTTGCCAATGATATGTTAGCACTGGACTGGATGGTAGGGATTCGAAATGAAGAAGAAATAATATTTGGCTGAGTGGCCAAATTATGAGCTCCCGACCGGGGTTCGTGGTTTGTGGGACTTTCGTCGGGGATAACTACAATTTCACTGACACAGTCGCTGAAAACAGATTTAGGTTGTGTTGGATTCGCAGGGCTGTTCTCGGATAGGAGCACTTCGTTTACTTTTTCAGCCGCTGCCGTGAGCGCGTCAGACTCTGATCTCGAATCAAGGACAGTTGGAAAGCCTGCTGCTATGTTCACAACTTTCTCCGCTGACATATTATCTGATAAATCTGATTTCTCCGATAAAGTTTGATTTGGTAAATCTTCGGAGAGCAGCTGATCTGATGATTTGCTTTCGTTTTCGATGGACAAATTCTTAATCTCAGCGTCTGTAATCTGAATCATGTCTTTAGTTTGACCGCAAGCACTGGACGTCTCGTGTGTTATCTGACTCACAGTTTTAACGTACTCAATAGAGCTCTCCCTATCAACACTATACCCCTCAACCATCTTATTGTCTGTTTTATCTGCAATTATTACCTCATCATCAATTAACACCTCATTATCGCATTTATCTGTTATAATCACCTGGTTACCATGGTGATTATCAATGCTATCAGCTGCTGTTGGATTGGTAGTGTTGGTATCCACAGTTGTGACGGGACGATATAGGGTATCGTTGTTAATTGGGGAGGTTATGTAAAGCTTTGCCATATACTACTATTGCCATGCTTTCATAGTCCTGTAGTTATTAATTGATTAGTTGGTTAATTGGGTTAGTAATTAATTATGGTTCGGTAATTATTACAGGTCATGAGTGGAGCTCAGCGTGGAACTGTAGCTAGTAAAAAGGTAACAGTTACAAATTGCCCAGTAGCAATCTGCAATATTTAAACGGATAGCTGGAAGATAAACTGCTGTTAAATTTCAAATACTGGGAACGTTACACTAACAGGTATTGAATTTCACTTATCTTATTTTCATACATATCATCACTTAATTTAAACATCAGTTAAACGAAAAAATATACAAAACGTACTAGGCTAGTATAAATCAAAAATTTGACATCAACCAATATAATCACTTAATGACCTTTAATATCGTAATTACACAGCGAAGAAATACACTCGTTTTACCAAAATTCATTTTCCACCCTCGTCTAGGGTAGATATTACTATAACGTTTGCATTATAGGTAAAAAAATGCTGAAATTCAGTTGAAACAATGCTGAAATTAAGTTGGTTTCACAGAAATTAGTGTATCTATTAAATGTTGAGTCCCCAATGCAAATATAAAGGTGAGACTGTTCCCTGAAAGATGCATCGTTCTACTAACTACACAAAGTACAGCTGCACATCCATTTAGGAGAACTTTATCTTTAATAATTTAATGAAATCCTTCAAGCTATCGTCACAGCACCATGACTCAATCTAAAGTTTCCTGGTACAAGAATTTGTTCTTGATCTGTAACTTTCCTTCCGCGTTGGCGTGACCCATGGAGCCGAGATCGGAGCCCAGGTGACTCATTTCGCTGGTGTTGGTGAATTCGTAGAGCACGTCCTTGTCGCCGCGCAGGTCCCGCGCATACCTCCCTCGTATGTTGGGGCCAGATACTGGCTTCTCTTTTACCATGTTACCTCCCGGGTAACCGGTCCTTCCTGGTAGTTAATTATAGTTAATTAGCTAATTAGTTAATTATAGTTATCTGTAATGGTTATAGTTAGTACTTTAATACACTTATAAGCTAGATATATACAATGGTGTACATGTGTATATTTTATATATAAGTATATTATGTAGATACCCTGTAGATAATAAACTTTATATAAGTAAATCAGAGCATTACCTAATGTTTAAACTGGTGAAAAGTTAACACTACTCGAGATCATTATAATGGTTAAACAGTTGTAGTTAGTCAGTTGCATTCGTGGCATCTAAGTGACCTATTTTATTAATTAGAATCAACATAATATTATTGAACGGTCATGAGACTGGCTCTAATATCTATTTAATTCTGCGGCCTGTGCACCCCTTTAAAACGGGCACAGGCTCAATTTAAATTGAATCTAAAGTTTGTAATTTATCAGCCCAATACCTACCAGGAGCAACAGATTTACACTCGTAAGGGTCGTACTTGTAGAGTCCGAATGTAGCACGGTGCAAAAGGTGGTTCCTGAAGTACAAATAATTCGTTGTTTAATATTGATATTATTAATTTGGTGTGAGGGGTATTATTTATGGTTCGTCTCCAATCTCTCATTGCCTATTATCACAACACGATTTATAGGTCAAGGAATTGCCTATTATCACAACACGATTTAGGTCAAGGAATTGCCTATTATCACAACACGATTTAGGTCAAGGAATTGCCCATTATCACAACACGATTTAGGTCAAGGAATTGCCTATTTAGTCAGGGACGAAACGGAATCTCGTTAGCTTTTCGTGTTAAAAGCGATTTCTCAACGGTTATCACCTCTCTAGATGATTCTTAAAACATTTGGACTTCATTGCATTTTTGAAATAAATGCAATGAGGGCGTTTTCGGCCACACCCTTTTTCAGGGTTTCGCGGTCACTCGAATTTTTGTATTTCAGCCCAGGAAGGTCTTAAAGACTATTCCGATACACCAAAATGTGCCTAATAGCCACATTTATATACAACTTATGAAGCAACATATACCTTAAAATGCTTCGTTTCGGAAATATGGCCGAAAAAACGGTTTTTTGGCTTGACGCAGTTCATAATTTCCGTGATTTTTGGCATTTCCGCCTAGGAAGGTCGTAGAGACTATTCTGATACGCTAAAATGTACATAATGGCCACATTTATATACAACTTATGAAGCAACATATACCCTAAAAGGCTTATTTTCGGAAATGTGGCTGAAAAACGGATTTTTGCCGAGCGAACAATGACAATATTCACAAATGGCTATTGGACTGTTAACTAGAAAGGTCTTAAAGACTCATGAGCAACACAGCATTTGTCACAAGATGTAAGATGACTCAATTTGTGTCCAGAAACACCTACAAAAATTGGAGAATGATCTACTTTATTGGGCATCTCTCTTAATGGGCCAGGCCAGCAGCATATTTGTGTCTTACTAAATGGCAATTTTTCAAAATTACGGTTTCTTTAGTAAAGGTCGATGGGTCAGTTGCTGACAGCAAATTGTTCGCAATTGCCGACTCATGCACATCATATACTCAAAAACGCTCACTTTAGGAGTCATTAGTAAATAACTACTACATGATTTGTGAAAACTCCAACAATTTTTCCTTGGTACCAATTTAAATAAAATGTGTGACGTGCCAGACCAAAATTCAACTTCAAACTTTTTATTTATTCATGCCATGAAACCATATAATTATATGTACCAAGAATACCGGACCTAAAATAAATCGGCACTGGATCCGGGTCAGATTGTTGCTTGACCGCTGACCAGTACCCCACTTTATAATTATGATTGATTTCGCTGCCTCGACCAATATTGGTTTGTAATCCCTGGATTGAGATCTGTTGGCCGCAGTTTAATTTAGCTAATTTCCTATAATACCGCAGTGGTCTGGTTCCCACTTCAGAATGACCCCATATTCTTTTTTTTAGTCGCATAGATTTTCCCATCGTATGATAATGTGTGTCATTCCCTCGTTTTTTAATCAAGTGGTGACTGGCTATTTCTTCTGGTATTACAGCTGTGAGCTGCCTCGAGATCTTATCTGGGGCATGGGCACAAATACTAGAACATTAGAACTGTAATTCTAGAACTTCAGATTAAGGTTACTTGGCAGAATAGCATTAGCAGGGTTCGAGATTTGACTGAGGGCATTCAGGTAACATATGTCAGGTTCACATCACCAGTTGAAGTGAATCTTAATTTCGGCATGCAATGCCTTTATATTATTGCCTTATAAGTTATAAGCTTATAGTAGGATCACGGGGTTTTTATATTAGAAGGTCTCGAGATGCTGATTTAGCTATTTAGGTTTCACATGTGAAATTTTTCCAGCTTAATTGGGTAAAGTGGATTTTAGAGCGGGGAGGGGGTCTAAATGACCAAAATCTGAACGATCTCTTACTTACGGGACACTACGGGACAAGGGACGGATCCCGGGCCTAATAGCTGTTTTTTAATGAGAGGCTGGAGTTTGGACCTAGATGGTCAACGTGAGGATAGCATGAGGATTGAGGATTTAGGATGCTCTGCCTGCCTTTCGTGGGGTCTTGTAACCCCGAAAGCTGGTATATCTTATCTAAATTAACCTTGGTTACATCCCGTGCTGTTTCGAATATATAATTAGATTAATTATAGGTCCAATATCAAGCAAAAAAGTCTAATCTCATGTACTGATGTTACACTTACATGATCTCCGACGCGAGGATCTCCGAAGTCCGATCTTAAAGTTGGATCTCAGAGCCAAAAAGAGGAACGTAAGCCTTGGTTCCTCTCTTTGAGAGTCAAAGAGGAAATTCGGTGTTATCAACTCAAACTCGGATTCGTAGCACAATTGAAAAACCAAAGAATAAAAATCTTAATGAATTTCCCGACATCCTAAAATTAATATCAGGTCGTATTCAATTCAGTGGCCCAAACTCCAGTAGGTTACAAGACTTAAGTTCAAGTCGAGGAACACTTTGATTAAGCATGATCCTTGTCTAGTTGGAGTTTTCGCATATCATGCAGTAGTTATCTACTAATCACTCCTAAACTGAGCGTTTTAGAGTCGAATCTCGAACCCTGCCATTCGGCCAAGTAATCTTAATCTGAAGTTCTATAATTACAGTTCTAATGTTCTAGTACTAATGTATTAGTGCCCTAGATAAGATCTCGAGGCAGCTGTAATAAAAAAGAGCTAGCCAGTAACCACTTGATTAAAAAACGAGGGAATGACACACATTATCATACGATGGGAAAATCTATGCGAACCAAACCACTGCGGTATTACTATTATGGTAAATGAGCTAAATTAAACTGCAGCCAACAGATCTCAATCCAGGGATTACAGACCAATATTGGTCGAGGCAGTGAAGTCAATTATGATTATAAAGTGGGGTACTGGTCAGTGGTCAAGCGACAATCTGGCCCGGATCCAGTGCCGATTTATTTTAGATCCGGTATTCTTGGTACATATAATTATATGGTTTCATGGCATGAATAAATAAAAAGTTGAATTTTGGTCATTACATTTTGGCTATATAGGTGCCAATGAAAAATTGTTGGAGTTTTCACAAATCATGCAGTAGTTAAACTTATTTACTAATGACTCCTAAAGTGAGCGTTTTTGAGTATATATGATGTGCATGAGTCGGCAATTGCGAACAATTTGCTGTTAGCAACTGACCCATTGACCTTTACTAAAGAAACCGTAATTTTGAAAAATTGCCATTTAGTAAGACACAAATATGCTGCTGGCCTGGCCCATTAAGAGAGATGCCCAATAAAGTAGATCATTCTCCAATTTTTGTAGGTGTTTCTGGACACAAATTGAGTCATCTTACATCTTGTGACAAATGCTGTGTTGCTCATGAGTCTTTAAGACCGTTTTAGCTAACAGTCCAATAGCCTATTTGTGAATATTGTCATTGTTCACTCGGCAAAAATCCGTTTTTCAGCCACATTTCCGAAAATAGGCCTTTTAGGGTATATGTTGCTTCATAAGTTGTATATAAATGTGGCCATTATGTACATTTTAGTGTATCAGAATAGTCTCTACGACCTTCCTAGGCGGAAATGCCAAAAATCACGGAAATTATGAACTGCGTCAAGCCAAAAACCGTTTTTCGGCCATATTTCCGAAACGAAGCATTTTAAGGTATATGTTGCTTCATAAGTTGTATATAAATGTGGCTATTAGGCACATTTTGGTGTATCGGAATAGTCTTTAAGACCTTCCTGGGCTGAAATACAAAAATTCGAGTGACCGCGAAACCCTGAAAAAGGGTGTGGCCGAAAACGCCCTCATTGCATTTATTTCAAAAATGCAATGAAGTCCAAATGTTTTAAGAATCATCTAGAGAGGTGATAACCGTTGAGAAATCGCTTTTAACACGAAAAGCTAACGAGATAGCCTTTTAGAACGGTTGGGATCCGACTAATTATCACAACACCGATTTTAATAAAAGTTTGCATATTGAAAACTTTGTCGTATTTTATTTTAAAAGTAAAAACATCTATTTTGACCACACTCCTAAATCTTTTGACAACTGAAAACATGCCGTCTTCTCCGCCTTACTCACAAGTCAAACTGAACTCTGCGCTCGTAGTGATTCTCGTCCTCCACCTCGAACGGCTCCTGGAATGTGTTGAGAATGCGCGCATGCACTATCTTCTTCTCCAACATATTTGAGTGGTACATGGCACTGCCTCCCACTTCTTCACCATCCGTCGGCAGGATACGCATGTAGTCCGACTCTTTCTTTACAAACCTGATCATGTGATGATAATAATAAATTGAAATAGCACCACTATTAAATAAAACTTAGAAATTTACCTGTATACTGGAAACTTGTATACTGGAAACTTATGCTTGAAAAGATATCGGTAATACTGATGTACAGTATGAAACCAAATAATTAAAGATATTACACCAATTATGACTAAAATAGCTTATTAATAAAGTTTCTCTAGTACGTTTCAGGGACTTTTCATTTCATTTAAATGCACGGCTGAGCACCAGAATTGAGCCAAAATATAAGTTTAATTAATTAATTTAATTGGTATTATATTGTATTTAATTGTACAGACGAAATGTTTAAACTGTGACTCGTGTCACTTTATTAGTCTTTGAAGGCATGGAATGAAGCAATAAACTAGCCGAGTGATTAACCAGGTCCAGGCTCTGATAAATCACATTTCTTGCAAGAATTGGCCAAACTTGGGCAAATTGACTAAAAGTTTGGGGAAAAAGAGGTGGAACCCGGTATGCAGGGTGATTCAAAAGTAATGTTTGAATTGTAGAAAATGATAAAATATTCATGAAGGAGAAAATTTCGGAAGATGAGTTGCTATCAATCATGAATTTCATTCTGACTTCTCATTTGATCTGTAGATATAGAGAGGAATGCCAAAGTGAGGTTTTACTGTATCTATTATAAAGCAAACTTACACAGAAACTTCCTCCTTGTCTTTCCACATAAGCCGTGTTTCGATCTCTTCCTCTGTAAGCACATCTCTACCAATGAACGTTCCCATGGGGTCCTGCACAAGAAATCTTCGATATTTGACAGCCAAAAGTTGCAAAACTACATTTAGTTAATAATGTTTATTTGAGGGCCGTATTTACCAAATTTGCTTAAAGTACGACCTTAAAGGAAGAATTTTAAGGTATCAAACCAAAGCTAAGGTAAAAATGAAAGAAAAATATTTTCTGCAAAATGCTCACGGTTCTAAAAAATCAGCAAAATTTTGATCAGTAGCTACAAGTGGGTTTTCGAGGTTAAAGAAATGGATATTGCAAAGAGGGGTACAAGAGGGGAGGGGGTACAAGAGGGGAGGGGGTACATGGGGGGATGGGGGTACAAGGGGGGAGGGGGTACATGGGGGGATGGGGGTACAAGGGGGGAGGGGGTACAGGGGGAGGGGTACAAGGGGGGTATGTTAAATAATAAATACTTACGTCCCACACATTCCTCCAGGTCCAGGATAATTTGTTTTTATCTACTGAATTGTATGTGCTCCAAGGATCCTGGGAGAGGATGTCAATCAGATAAACTCATATAAATGCATATAATATTGAATCAATTATATATCAAATACATATGCAATAAGCATATTCAATATAATTTATATTTCTCAGATGAAAATTCAATTGGGTATAAAATTAACGGTTATGGTAAAGGGATCTTCTTTTCCGCCAAGAAAATACCTAAGAATAATCATTAAAATGATAACATTATAAAATATAATAATTTATAACCATTTCTTTTGCATATTGGGAGGCCCGAGCTTTCCATGCTCCTAAAAGCCCACTTTTTGTGTAGAATCTTAAATCATCAGTCCCATCGTAAGGATATGGGTTATAAGGTTTATCCTCAGGCACCATCAGTTAACTATCTACACTGAGGAAATTTTGATAATTCTACAATCAGAATATTAATATTTATATGTATTATAATATGGTGCAACACAATGGAAACCAGTCATACACCAATCAAGGGACCTAAAATACTTTGCATAGTGTCATGGAAGAATCCATTCCTGTGCCATCGTTGGTAAATTATATGTGCTGCTAGAGTGGGTCGTCTGAGTATTCCAAACTGCACAACTACAGCAAGGATGATGATGATAAAATCTAATCATTATAGGCAGTATACAATGAGCAATTTAGTAACAAATAGCATGATAGATATGAAAATAAAAAATAAAATCCCCCTAAATGTTTTCATCCAAAGCTGAAAATATAAATATATTCTTAACAAGATCAAATAAAGCGGTTGATCAGTCACTTGTGTCATTATGACAACGTTGTTATATAAAGTCAAAAAATTCCCCAAAATAATTGAAAGACGATTCCCGATCAATAACGTTTTTGGTAGAAAGTTACATAAATATCAATGAAGGAAACTGTAAAGATAGAGTACTTCAACTCAGTCAATGCTACAAAACAGCTGACAGCAGACAGAGGTTAAAAAAAGCACTGCTTTTGAATGATCTGACTCATAAATACCTGACTTCATCCACTAAGAAACCATGTTCTCGATAAACAAGAATTCTTTGATGCACTCTCACTCAAATTTAACCTAACTGTTAACAGAAATCCTATGAGTCTGTAAAAAACCACATTAACTCTCAAAAGTGGATATCTTGTTATATTTAGATAATAATAATAATAATTCTATACTGTTACATAATTTAAAAATTATGGCCCCTTATTGTGGGCAGAGTATGTGTCTTTGTTTATGTGTCGTGATTTAAAAATCATCTGAGTGACTGCATTAGAATAATTTAAGGTGAGTACCATAAAAACGTTAAAACAAAAGGAGTAAAAACTAGAACATACTAATATCAATACCAACATTAGAACAAAATACAGTCACCTAAGTCTCTTCTCCTACGGTTGAGTATAGAGGAACCATTTTTGGAGTGTATTAGGGACTTAGACCATTACAAATACTCTGCTGTAAGCTTGCAAGGCATGTGGACTAAGTGGGTCGAGAGTACTCGACTTGGAAGTGGGTGTTGAGAATTCTCAACTAAACTCGAAGATAATGACGTCCAGAAGATGAGGCAGTAGATGGAGTAGCTTAGAGGAGTAGTAGAGGCTGAAGGGGAGTGATGTCATGAGGAGATGTAGGACATGAAGGGGGATGAAGGTCAAGGAGCACTATAAGTATCAATTCTATGATAGTTCACCGATGGCGATCTGTGCTAGAGATCGGAAGGCAGTGATGCTGTCATCACTATCATCTCTTAAGATAGACCAGCATGGTTGGTCACTAGTGGAGTGCTCTTGGATGGTTTCTCTGTAGGAACAGCGGTACAGTGAACAGGAGAAGATTCGATGGTAATTGTTGTCCAGCATCTGACAATTCGGACACTGAGGGTCGCAGTTGTTATTTAGATATAATTCACTCAAAGACACAGTCGAAGAACTCTTCAGGACTGTAAAAGACGTTGAAACAACACTTGAACTATTAAACGACACCAATAGATAAAATGGCACACAAATAGAGGTTCCATCACATCAGTGTGAAATCTTTTTAGTCACCGCTGGACAAGAAATTCACACATGTAAGGGTACTTCACTCTCAAGCACAAGCCAACAGTGACAAGAGCATCTTACAGATGTTTCTAGCGCCTGAGAACAGTAAAACGGGATACTATCAAAGAGTTCTGATGTTTAATGAAACAAGAAATTTAATTTTAGCACATTTTACAGAATCAACAAATTTATAACAATGAAAATATATTTAGAAAAGGAACCTTCACCTCACTGGTTTCCAGTATGACAGGAGGAATGTCACCAGAGGCATCTAAATTCTTGAAGCACTTGGCAGAACAGATCAGCCATAAGAAAGGTTAAAGATAATGCAATGGCTTTTATCATACACAGATTACAACTTTTGCTCATTGTACAAAATCAATCAGGAGATACAGAGGAGTAAAACTCTGCAACCTGCTGTAATGAGCATTTATAACTAAACCTAATTGACACTCCCTAGATCATAAATGTTTGTTGGGCATGAACTGCTAGTAAGCAGTGGCCACTTTTACCATAGCATGTAAACAGGATTTAATTATTTATTCATTTGATTATTATAATTTTACCAGTGGAGGCTCGTGTGGGTGTGGGGGTTATTATACAAATTTTTATCAGAACGAATTAATTAATATTTAATAATTTATTCGGTAGTTTTATCTGATATTGATATTGATTATTGATATTGATTATATTGATATTGTTATTATTGAACGAAGCTAGCTCTAGATATAGTTAATATTACTTCTTTTAACAAAGGGACTTGGAGAATAAACGACCAAGTTTGCATAAATTTCTATCCAACCAAGAATTCAGGAGGCAAAGGTGGGTGCGTAAACTTTAATATACGTTACATGCCACTTTTCGCATGCCACCTAGCGCCGTAAACTTTATGGTCTGCACTCTCCGATCTTGTATCACCCTGGATTCTTCTCGACGTATCTTTGTAAAAGGGATATACCTTCTAGTTAATCTCTTGCTAACTCCAAGTCCCCTAAGATATCTGATCTAAAGTTCGTGCTAGTTATATATATGAAATATATTTTTGTCTGCTTTAATTGATACTAAATAAAATTGTTGTTTTCTTGAAATTATTGTTTTCTTGGTGTCAAGAATCAAAATGCACCCACGTAACTCGGTTCGTTCTGTGAAAAATTTAAAAATTTAATACTCATCCAGTAATTGTTTTAAATTTAATTGATACGCCAACCAAATAATCACGCAGTGAAAGCCGTGCATTTAAAACAGTTGTAGCGGGGTTCAGGTCGGCGTTATCAATCCTGGGTTTTAGAAGCATACCAAATCTCCGAATTTACGTGTATTTTGGGATAAGGGCTTGTGGCTCGTGAAAATGGTTCATTACATGTTATTTGATGCAAGATGGGTGCGTTCATATACCCACTTTTTTGAACCTAATAATTTGTATCACGTTGCGACACCCACGGTCGTTTCACTATACAGGGGAAGCCGCGCACTTCGTGCGCGGCGGGTCATACAACGTATGACAACTAATAATTGAGCGCCTGCTTGTTGATGCCGAACGCCTGCCTAATAATTTGACATGTGTAACGATCTCAGATCTGTGTGAGTTCATTAACCTGGCCGTGTCTTACTTTAACATGTTGAAAATTTGTTTTTTCAACAACTTGCTTCTGGTCTTGCTTTAGAAATGTATCCAGATCCTTTCTAGGCTCCAAAATATCGTTTAGTTTCGCCTCCAGCGGAAATCTCCGGACGAGGGGGCCTGCATCCCAAACCGTCTGAGTCAGTCTCGGAAAGCTAAACCCATTTTTGCTATAACACCCTACCCACAGGCCACATCTGAATTTTAACATTTTAATTTATTTGTCGAATTATATTTTTGAGTGCGTCTATAGCCATTGCTGGATTTATTTTCGTATATTCTTATTTGACCATTGTTAATGATCTGGCCCGGCACGCGCTACTTCGTAGCAGTTGCCGTCGAGAAGAAAGCGGCGCGCGCTACTTCAAATTCTTATTAGCCCATTGGGCCCAATGTAATTGCAGTAATTAGGCACTGAAATCACAAACAAATTTCTTATTGAATCTCTCAAAATTTTATGTATTTAACTAAACTAACATGGTCTTACTTTATTTGGCCTTGCGTGGTTCGAAATTTCAATTAACGGGTGATACTCGTAAAATATCTGTTCCATATATTATACCGTCGACGAGTCAAACTCGGCGCGCGTCCTGGTAGGTTGTAAACCTACATTGTATCACGTTGTGACCCTCACTTTATCGTCCTGACGATACAGGGGGAGCCGCGCACTCGTGCGCGGCGGGTCATACAACTTATGACAAAGTTTTCATAGTCTCAAAAATTGCATATCCTTGGATATATTAGCAAATTGACATATGACTGATTTACGTAAAAATATATACTTTAATCCATTAAAATTATTATACAACTCTTTTAAAATTTAAATTAAAAAATGTATACACGCATAAATTTTATTTATAAAATCGAAACAAATTTTCCAAATAGAAGAGAATTTGTTAAATCATAAATGTACTTGCCAAATCAGATAATACATTTTAAGCCGCAACGCTAATAATTTACAATTATATTTTGTATCACGTGGTGACCATGGACCACCACTGTCGCTTCACTATAGTGAAGCGACCCCTGGCCCTGTAGAGTTTCTACGATACAGGGGGAGCCGCGCACTCGTGCATCGTGCGCGGCGGGTCGTACAATCAACAATGTAACTTGACCATTGTTAATGGTCTGACCCGGCGCGCGCTACTTCGTAGCACTTGCCATCGGGTAACATTTCGAGAAGAAAGTGGCGCGCGCTACTTCGAAGAAATTTAGACGAGTAACATCCGTCAACAATGTAACTCGTAAGACAAAATTATATCTGCATAATGATTTATCAAACTACTTTCGAATATTATGTGACTTAACCCTTTAATTTGATCCTAACCCTAATCCAATTTATAACAAAAGCATATGCCGAAACTCTAACCCTAACGAGAAATTAGACCAACTTCTTTTTACAGTCATATTACGCGACCTAAACAATTGTTCGTCAATATCTCGCCAGGGGAGCATTTTAACCCGTCGGAATCAACTTGTAGCGCGATGCGTTACTGTGCCGCGCCGCGCACTTAGGCTTCTCACAGCGATCTCTGGCTAGATCGGCGAAATGCGCTACTGTGCCGCGCCGAGCTGCCATGAATTGACATCGTCAATTATTCACCATACTGAGGCAGTCAACCAACGCGCGGCTTTATTTTTATGATATGATATGTTTTGATTGTTCTTAATACAATATAGTAGTAGTGTTCTTAATAAATACCAAAATTTAAATTTGTTTTACTAAAAATTTGTTTTACTAATTAAGAATCAA